GTTAAGATTTAAGTTATTTATAAGGTTTATTGTGAAAGGTGGGTAGATGTAGAACTTGTGATTCCATCTACTTGCCTTGGGCCTCCACTCGCAGCAACCTCCTCGTGGTGAGGCCTGGGCAATCCGTATTCTCATCGGTAAAGTATTGTAAACTGATGAAAATATCGAGCTAATGGCTGCGAACTTCGAATCTATCTCATAAAACCACATTCTATATTACATCGAACTAGGATTATTTTAGAAATCGATATGAGATTCAGTGTACTAAAAATGTCTAGTACTTTGAATGTTATAGAAAATTATTTAGTGGATCTTGTAATGAAGCTTTATAAATGAATAACTTGTATTTTATCATAAATTATTAAACAACAACCCCGTCTTAGTATTTATGAGAAATATGAAATATTAATTATTTTATTTAAATGATTTTAATTACGTTTTGTGCGTAAGTTCAGGACAGAACTGCCCTAGACGTGTGGCGCGAGAAGATTTTGAAATTTGTATTTTCAGAAACGAAGTTAGAAACTAGTACTTGTGAGAACGGGCATCATTTTTCTTCGTCACGCATTAAATTCGAAGTTTAAATAACGTAGAATAATACTCTCTAACCACTGGAAACCAGTTCCATTACAAGAACATTGTTAAAATCGCATTTGTTTGCAACGGTTGACACTATATCTCGTCATGCGTACTCCGTTTAATTCACTTTACACAGCTGTTATACGGATAGCTTTCGTCTAGATAAAACATTCGATTTGTACCTGAAAGAACGTAGATTAATGTCCCGCCATTGAAAATAATAATAAACAACCAGAACACTGTCAAAATTGCATTTAATTGCGGAATACCACTATTTTTCGACCGGTGGCGCCATCCGTGGCGAATCGCTGAAACTACTAGCCAATTATATGGGTACCAGTTTCAGCGATTAGCCACGGGTGGCGCCACCAGTCGAAAAATAGTGGTACTCCGCGATTAAATGCGATTTTAACAGTGTTCTGGACGTTTATTGTTATTTTCAATGACAGGAGATTAATGTACGTTCTTTCAGCTTCAAACTGAATGCTGGATCAAGACGTAACTTGTCCATAGAACGTTGGAAGAGCTATTTAAAGTGAACTAAACGGGGTACGCATGGCAAGATACACTGTCAACCGTTGCAAACAAATGCGATTTTAACAATGTTCTTGCGATTACTGGTTTCCAGCCGTTAGAGAATAGTAATCTACGTTCTTTAAACTTCGAATGTAATCCATGACGAGGAAAACTGATGCTCGTTTAGCAGTGTAAATCCGATCGAAAACTGTTGTAATTACATAACCACTAAACAGGCAACCCCTTTTTTCGTCATGCATTACATTCGAAGTTTAAAGAATGTTGATTAGTACCCTATAACGACTGATTCGTCTTGGCCAAGCACTCAACTTGTAGCTGAAAGAACGTAGATTAATCTCCTGTCAATGGCAATAACAATAAACGACCGGAACACTGTTAAAATCGCAATTTATTTGCGAAGGTTGACACTGTATCGCGTCATGCGTACCCCGGTTAGTTCAGTTTGGACAGCTCGTACACCGTTATACGGACAGCTTTCGTTTAGCTGAAGCGCTCAATGTGTAGCCGAAAGTACGTAGATTAATCCACTATTGTTGATAATAACAATAAAAGACCAGAACACAGTTAAAATCGCATTTAATCGCGGAGTACCACTATTTTTTCGACTGGTGGCGCTACCCGTGGCGAATCGCTGAAACTGGTACCCATATAATTGGCTAGTAGTTTCAGCGATTCGTCACGGGTGGCGCCACCAGTCGAAAAAATAGTGGTACTCTGCGATTAAATGCGATTTTAACAGTTTTCTGGACACTTATTGTTATTGTCAATGGCGGGACAATAATCTACGTTCTTTCAGCTACAACTCGAGTACTGTATCTAAACGAAAGCTATCCGTATAACGGTGTAACAGTTGTCCAAAGTGAACTAAACGGGGTATGCATGACGGGATACACTGTCGATCCAAACCTGTTGTTGTCAGAGTTGCCACTCCGTAAGGGGTCAACGTTAATAGTAGCATAAATAATTGTACTAATTCTGGTGTTCTGTTGCTCGTACAACTCTCGAGCTCGGTCGAATGTTGCTCGTGCAACTGTCTAATTGGGACTGACGCTTGTGCGTGGTCCCGTGAGCAAATTATATAGTAACCCCAGCAACCATGGCAGTTTCTGCAAATACTACTACAGCCCAAGTTTAAAAGACGTAGGCAGTAGTTAGTTTCTGTAGTAACCTGTTGAACCAGACAACTATAATTAGTATAGGATTGTACAATATTTATGCAGTTATATTTAAGACAATTCGATGAAATGAAGCTTATATTATCTGACGTATGTTTATTGGAATATACCTATCTACATATAAATTATAATGATATAAACATAGGCGTGTGGTCATAGAACACCCGGAGGAGGCTCCAAAGTCTCCGTGCGGTGAGATCTGGGGGTCACAGAACCCCCGGTGGTGGCGCCAGTCACCCCGTGTGGTCCGAACGTGGGGTCACAGAACCCCCGCAGGAGGCGCCAGTGACCCTGTATGGTGAGAACGTGAGGTCACAAAACCCCGGCAGGTGGCGCCAGAGACCCCGTGTGGTGAGAGCGCGGGGTCACAGAACCCCCGGTGGAGGCGCCAGAGACCCTGAGTGGGGATAGTGTGGGGTCATGGAACCCCCGTTGGTGGCGCCAGAGTCCCCGCGTGGTGAGAACTTGGGGTCACAGAACCCCCAGTGGAGGCGCCAGAGACCCCGTGTGTTAAGAACGTGGGGTCATAGACATCCAGAGCATGCATAAGAGACCCCGTATGTGTAAGATGTATCTACATATTTGTTTATCATGTATAACTTGTATTACGTATATCGTAAATAGTTTATACATACGTTTATGTTTATATGTTTTATATTTTATATTAAATATTTAAATAAGTATATAAAATATAGTATTGTATTTTATTCTCTCTCAACGCAGAAAGAACTTTTGTGTTGGGTATCAAGATTAGAAAAATATAATTCGATACCGAGTAAGTATCGATATTTTCATACAAAAGTATTTTTGGTAAAAGTATCGATACCTTGGTAGTATCGATTCAACCCTAACTATTAGCCAAATAATATCATCTTTGTCTTGCTGGATGGCGCCATCTGACCAATCGTACGTTTGATTCTTTGAAAATTAAATATTAAATATTCCTTTTGTCGTTTTTCAATTTTGTTTAGAATACGGAAAATTGATTACTCGGTTTGAGAATGTTATCACAATTTCTTTAAGTTGCAACAGTGTTACGCCACAGGCAAAGCGTTAGCTACATCCGAAACTCATCGAAGATGCATACTTTTTTGCTCTTGCAAACTGATTGTCTTCTGTCCATTCATAGTAAAAATATGTACATATTTTACGGAAAGTGGTCTTCTTACTTTAACTTATACTGTACTTATTTTTTTTATTTAACATTCTGAAATATTTGTAATATTTCTATTTCCATCTGTTGCAAAGCTTTCTATTGAATTTTTCCAAATTCGAAACATATGCTAGTATTACGTATTCGAGATGTCACTTTCAATAGATAAACCAGATGGTATCGGATGTAGGCGGAACCGATGTAATACAAATGAAAAATGATGCGATAGTACCGTATAGAATGACGTCAGCTGACGTACAATTACTCTATATCAGTGGTAGGGAGAGATACGCGAAGAAGTGCAACGTGGCAACCAATAACGATACTCCACATGGAACGTTGGTGTCTTCCACCAGTCGCGTCGAGGCTCAGTGCAAGCAATACATCGGGGATGCTCTTCGACCGACCAAATGCTGCAGTCCGTCAACTCGATTACATCAGCTAGAAAGTACGCGACGCGAAATTTTCAGCGGTGGTGCGTTATACATCGGATCAGTCGTTATCCGGTGGTCCAAGGCATGAGACCTCGCACGAGAGAGCCAACGCCTCAGTAAACTTCTAAACAAGAGACTAGCAAGTTCGTTCGTATTGAATGGCAGATTATGAGTGTATTGAAGAGTGTCATCATCACCTTGCCTAAGGGCCTGTCGAAGGCGCCTGGCATCGTAGTTAGCAACGAATTACCGAGATCCGTGGCAAAATTTAATTTCACCAACTCTATGTTGACCGACAAGTCAAGGATGGATTCGAAGAGGATTACCAAACATAAAGACACTCGGGACGAAAGCGCGTTATTCAAGACTGACTCATGCGTCCGTGGAAAAAAACGCCGACTGGATCACTTAACATGGGAGGAGAAATTACAACGAAAGTATGCTGACCCCTGACAGTTCATCTTCGAATTGCTGCGTCAGAGATTTTAATCATTCATTTTGTTTATAGAAAACTGAAGAACAGAGTAGCCGCTCAGACGTCACGGGATCGCAAAAAGGCGAAACTCGATGAACTGGAGGATACTGTGAGAACGTTGAGGGAACAAAATGAATTGTTGACACAGGAGTGTTCTATGTTGAGGTCACAAAACGATTTGTTGGTGACAGAAACAAAAAGATTGAGGAGGGAGAAGGATACGAAATATTCAGGAGAATTAATCTGTTCGATGTGTCAGAGTCGTGTCGGCTGTGCTGTGTCCGCGCAGGGATCTACAGTGTCCCCCACTCACCCTCTGCAGCAGGGTGGAACAATGCAGCTGGCACCGTCTCTGGTGCTAACCCCAGGAACAGCAATTTTCCTGAAGATACTGACCATTTACCTCCTCTTGAAGACCTGTTTGGTGACCTCCAAGGGGACGATTACATCGAAAGACTTGAAGAACTTGCAGAAAGCCTTTTGCGAGAGGTTAATGCAGAAGTGGAAGCAAATCCTCATACGACAAATGAACAAGTGAGTATTTCAATACAGCCAAACATGTGTATAATATTTCCAAAATGGTATTGTAATTTGCACGAGTTATAGGAATGAATGAACGTTTCAGGGTATAGAATCTGTATGTATAGCTAGTAGAACCAAAATAGTGAGGTTATAAAAATCGATAAGGTGTCAAAGTTTACATGTTCCGTGCATCAAAACAGCAGTGTGAAAGGTACAGAGAGAGATAAGTCAGATAAGCAGGTCCAACCTCATTCAAGACTGTATGATGTCAACTCGGAATTACTTCTTGCATTGTAGTATTTAAAAAAGAATTGTCTACAAGACCAAAGGTTAATTTACGATCTCACTATTTCGGTTCCATCGACTACGACCGTTTTACGTATATAGAACTTATTCAAAGTAACTAAATTACACATAGCAGCTGACTTTCAGTTATTAAAACAAAAACGTTTCATTCGTTTCTAAACTAATGTCGTTCATTTGCAACTCAGGCTTCCTTTCATTAATGATGTATCAATTTTATCCTGTCTAGGTGTCGGTCCAGGAAGGTACCATTGAAAGACATAACCATTCGAAAGGAGTGGTGGGGCAGGCATCAAAAAATGTGGAAGCCGGTAGAACCTATGGAAGCATGAGCACGCACCAATCGTGGCATCCTGTTACCAGCACAGTTACTACACCTTGTACCACGAGTACAACTGCACTCGCGTCGATCAAATCAGAGATCCAAGTGAAACAAGAAGTCGACACACACGATTTAGATACCGTCTACGGCACCTACGACGAGACCAGTAATTCCATAACGATCATTTATCCGGGGGAGGAAAATAGCGTGGGCATTCAAGAGTGTGTTCAAGAAGTGAGCACGGACGAGGTTTGCTTGGCCGAGGATACATCGTGTCGCACACCGAATCGTTATTATTCCGATCAACTCTCACCGTCGTACACGTGCACGGACTCTATGTCACCGTCAAGCATACATTCCGAAGATATGGATTCCGGGTTCACGCAAACGAAATTAGACTCGAACGCGTCCGATTGTGGCTACGAGTCGCACGATTCTCCAATACCCGACACACGAAACGAAAAGGGTAACGTGGCCCTCGCTGATCTTTGGCACGAAAGTTTTTCCGAATTATTCCCTACGCTGGCCTGACAGTTACGGCAAAAAAAAAGAACGACGAACATTGGATCGTTCCCTTATTGTGTCTGTGATACAACTTAACGGAAACCGCGTTTATCAAACATTTGTTTACTACGAGAGAATAATTATAGCACAACTGTAACACGATACGAGAACTCACTTTATACATTACGTAGCACATGTGTAAAATCGAACGTACGAATTACATGTGTATTTTTCTACACACATTAATAATATTAAGTTCGTTTTTAAGGAGAAACACCCCTAGTTTACGAATAATCGTGGAAACCTTGCGAACACATTTGCCCAACGATCGATTGTTAATGTACATAATATTTATTGAATGTTTACTAGTGAGATAACAAGTGGTGTATTACTGTGCAACAGTATGCCGAATAAAGAATCTAAACAGAAACTTTTCGTTCTTTATTATCTTATGTGTCTATGGCTTTTACAATTGTATGCTTGTCGAATACTTTATTCTTCGTTATCTTAGACTATTAAAATTATTAAGTTACCCGGCGTGTATCTTATGCGTATCTAACCTGGTGTCGGTAAAGAATAATCTCAATATAATAGAGAAATTGACTGGAGATATCGACGAGGACAAGTATCTTCAAAAAGTTCATAAAAATCGAACGAAAGAGCTGCAGTTACCTATGGTGTTCAGATTTCATTGCGCAGATTTCTGTCACACTTCAATGAATTACATTAACAGTAAAAAATAAGCTACTAATTAGCACCCTTTAATAATCCTTAGACGAATACGGTCAATGTAAAATAGGTGATATAAAATGCTTCTAAAAATATTAGCAACGAGCCCTTATCAAGGGCAATGGAAGATAACGATGACTGCGTGTATATACCCTAATATCTTATCTTTTCCGATAAGGATTAATAAACGATACGGTGTTACATTAATTTGAATAGTCGCAACACGTTGAAACGTGTCGATGTTGGTAAAAACACAATTGGGGAGGGGGGGGACTGTTGTTTCGCGTCGCGTCGCCGCGACGACAAGCGTATATCATGAAGTACGTAATTATTATTCCTGAAAACGACTAAAGCGATTACACATGGCTTATGCAACGCATAGGCGTGCACGAGGTGTGAGCCACAGTCTACAAAAAAAACAAAAAAAAAGAAATTGTAAATAGTACCAAACGAAACGATTTCGCTATTCGTCAATTTTTTTTCTTCCCGTATGTTACAATATTTATGAATACTTTCTGGTAAAAGGTTTCGTCTTAGCCGAACAATTTGTCGAAACATCCGTGGCAATAGGGCTTGTCGTTTTGCTCTTTGAACGTGCCCTTGTTCAACTGTTTCAGACAGAACGCGCATACAAAGTGTTCCGGATGGAACTTCCGGAACATCGCGGTTATGCAACGACCTGAAACACAAGAATAATTAATTATAATGATTAATATTAATGATTAGACTGCAAATTTTATGCATTTATAGCAGGTCTCTGTGAAATACAAAGAAGGACAAAACTTTCGTCCAATGCAATGAGTTTTCTATTTTCCTATGAACCCAATAAGATACTTAAGGGAACAAAGAAATTTCTACTTTTCTTTTTGTTTTCATGAACAACCTTCTAAAATGTGATTTTCCATAAAAATCCGCAGTCTATTAATGATCGATGGTTAAGATTATCAATGAAAAACGATTGTGGGAACGCGTAGTGAACCTGTAATCGGCTTGTGACATCCCGCGCAAAGGGATCCCCTCTTGGCGTGATAATGGGTTTCGCAGTAGGGCAGACCCTCGTGATCGAAGAACGAGCCGCCTTGGAACTTTTGCCGACAATCCTGCGAACGAGAGAAACAGCACACGTGAATCGCAAGGTTCGTCGAGAAACAGGCGGAGTGGCTGACGGACTCGGTTGCGACAACGACGGAGCGTAAACAATGAAATCTAAACAACAGGTCTCCCCTATTCATTCACAAACGGACGGAGAATGGACCCTGTGTGTGACATGCGATCACGTCACGGTTAGTAGACCCGCGAGTTACGGTGTTTCTATTTAGTCTGTCTCCGTGATAGCATTTTCAAATTATTTCCAAACATCGATAAACAATTGGAACAGCCTAACAGCCCGTTAGCCTGCCGTCCACACCACCTCTTCTCGTCGAAGACGCATGGCGACGACAGACGCGGCATCCAGAGGCTCTGCTCGCTGGCCAACTATTCTGTATTTGTGTGTGTTTTTGTTTTCATTTTTTTTTTTCTTTATTTTTTATTCGTCATACAATACTAGAAACTGCTATTACGGAGCTCTTACGATCGACCATTAATCGAGATTGTTCTAGACTACGAGAAAAAAAAAAGAGGTAACTTGATTTACAATTTGAAAAATCCTTAAAGAAAGTTCGCGGATCCAATAACCATAGATTCTCGACGATGCCCTAAGGGTTTGTGTACGCTGTACATCTATCCTGTGCGCGTTTGTGTCTATCTGTGTTTTTCGGTGGGTGTGCGATATTCGACGTATTTCGAAGCGGAATTCTAACGACGACCAAGCCATCGTCGATGCATTCCTCCGTTGAACCGGCTAAACACCTGTTGAGAAAATAGGGGGACAGGGGGGGAGGGCATATAACAGGCTCCGCATCGATGGAGACCATTGAGGGGGGATGAATCGGGGGCATTTTTACATAAGAAATCGAGAAGCAACCCGCAGAACGCAGATCACGCGTCGCATTTATGCTTCCTCCTCCTCCTCCTCTTCCTCGTCGTCGACGCCCACGCATTTCGGGCAAACGGGTTTGCCCTCCATCGCGTAAAACGACTTTCCGGACACCGGTTTCTTGCAATCCTGCAATTTTCACATGGATTTAACGAAACGAAAAAAAAAAAGAAACTTATCGATCTTCTCCTGATGTATACATAACCTCGCGAGCAAACTCGGCTTCCGCTAGGGGAAAAAGTAGCGTAGGGACTCCACCACTTAGTATCAGGAATTACTGAAATTTATACCAAATTAACATTTGATTTAACATTTATTTTAGTACTAGAAATTAATTTACCAAGTAGCAGGAAACCTTCCCCTTCGCCACTTTTACCCCTCGCGGAAGCGAAAGGCATTCTGCCACTTGGTAAATTAATTTCTAGTACTGAAATAAAATCGAACGTTAATTTGGCATAAATTACAATAATTCTCGATACCACGTGGTAGAGTCCTTTATCCCTACGCAACTTTTTCCCCTAGCGGAAGCAGAGTTTCCTCGTGGGTGTACACATACGGTAAACAACCACTGAAAAAAAGCTGGAAACGAACAAAAAAACCGTGTAAACGCCGTAGGCGTATCGGGGGAGCAACGGAACCTACCCTGCAGACGAAACAATCGGGATGCCATTGACTGTTCAGGGCGGATATATAGTTCTCCATGATCGCGCGATTGCAACCGCCGCATTTCGGCGCGAACATGTCGAAGTAATCCTCCCGGCAGTAGGGCTTCCCGTCCCTCTCGTGGAATCCCTCCTCGCCGAACTGTTTGCCGCACTGGGCGCAGAAAAAGTGCTCGGTGTGCCAGGTTTTCTCCAGGGCGGTCACGCATTTCTGGAGAAAAGAAAAATACCGACGGTGAACCGTGTATGACACTTGATCGTTAAACCCAATAACGCTTATTAGACCCAATAACGGTCGTTAGCAACAGCAGTGATTCGGATGAACTAGCATCGAGGGGATACGTCGTGCTTACGTCTAGAATGGGACCGTTACAGTAAGCGCAACGGGGCGAGAACAGATTGTGGTAATCCGGCTCGCAGTACGGTTGGCCCTCCCGCTCGAAGAAGTTCCGAGTGCCAAGTTCTTGGTTGCAGTGAGTGCAGGTGAAGTGTTCCGGGTGCCAGGTTTTCCCCAGTGCGGTGATCACCTGAAACAATTAGATACTCGAAATTAGAGCCAGATATCAGACGGGTCAAATTCGATGATTTATAGCCATAGGGGGATCGAACGATCGATTACTTGTCCGACGATCGGCTTCTCGCAGGCGTTGCAGCATCCCTTCTGAGTGGTGTTCACACCTTGACGACTCATGTCTGCCTGGAGGTTACCTAGCATAGAATCCAACTGATTCTGTTTGGTCTGAACGGCCGGCTGCGGTGAATATGCCTCTCCGTGCTGATAGTGATGGGTGGCGTGGGTCTCGGTGATGTGGACTCGTGTCTGCGTGCCCTCGGGCGGCAGCGGGCTCTGAGAGCTCTTGGTCGCTTTGTTTGGCTTCGCGTACGGCGAGTCGGTCACCGTCTGATGTTGATGGGAACCGCTATTGATCTGCGAAAATTGTTAACGACCGTTTTCAAACAGGTCGTGGAGAGACCAAGCGTCCACGAACGGCGTTTGAAATTGATTTCGATTGCGGGGATCAGGCTAGAAGGAACTAGGAGCTCAAAGGGGGGGGGTGGATGATGGTGGTGGTGGTTAACGTTTGCTTCGGAAGTCAGAGGTGTATAGAGGCAGCAGGTGATCGAAGCAATCGGTGGAAAGTCAGGAATAGTTAGAGGTATCGAGGACGACGACGTTAGGGGGCAGAATGTCAAGGTACCGTTGCGCACGAAGACTCTCAAAAGGTGTCGCACGCGATGTGGAGTTGACCGATGTCGATTGCCAGAGGCGAGCTTGCGGACTGGCTGAAAGCTTTGAGAGATTTCGTGGATCTGTATTAAAACCCCCACCCCCTTCCCTATATTTTCCTTGTTACCCCCCCTTCTCTGCCACAGAGGCCACGGAAAATCGGCGGAGGCGAGGAAAAGGAGAGAAGAAGAAGTAGGAGGAGCGGTGTGTGACGGTCGGCGGCCGGTGGTAGATGGTGGAATGGAAGTTATTTTGGTAACCTAGGGAGCCAAGAATGGGCAGGAGTAGTTTTCACGCGGCTGTTTTCTCATTCTCTATAGTGTCTTTAATGGTAAGCAAACACTGCAGAAAAACGCTTATTGCACCCGGTCGAGGATCGATTAAATGTGGTAATTCGTGGGATCGTGTAACCGAATTGGTATCGGTATCATATCTGTCTGCTTGGTACCTTGAAGTCGGACAGAGAAGCCATCAGATCGTCGAGCTCTTTGGTGGCATTGCTGGCCGTGTGGCCGTTCGTGTAGCCTCTCTGAACCTCGGCGCGATTCAACGAGCCCTGCCTGGATGGGTAACCCTCGTAGACGGGCTGGATCTCCGTGGACGTTTCCTGAATGGTAACCTTAACCCTTCCGTCGGAAGTGTAATCGCTGAGAATTATTCCGGCGGTTAGTCGATGGAATATATACGAGAAATACATAGAATATGAATTTTTAATATATTTATTTCTCACCCGTTCGGAACCGCGGTGCTCAGCTCCTCGAGCAACGAGTCCACGGTCGGCCTCGAGGCAGACATGCTGCTTGGGGATCGGAGCATCGGACTAGAATCTCCATTCGTTCCTCCGGAGGATACTCGATTGTCTGCGATCATTAAGAATTCCCGTGTCGAGTTGCAAGAAGAAACAAAAAAAAAAGGATATTGGGGCTTTCTAGTTCACCGACATCCTGGACTCTCGACGCGTAAAGGCTCGTTTACACTTTCAAATAATGCGAACTGACTTCTGCAATTACACGTTTAGTCTATCTTTCATAGTTATTTTATATACGTATAAAGAATAAACTGTAATTGGTTATTACGAAATTAAATAACAAGAAAAGTAACAGCTATTATTTGTCAGCGATTTTTGCTTCCGTTTAGACGCAAATCATTCGAATGTGTAAACGAGCCTTAACCCTTTTAGTACTTTAGAGTTGATATATCGACTTTGTAGGTTTTCCGAAAAATACCTTGAGCCGATATATCGGCTTTGAGGGTTTTCGGACAAATATCTTGAGCCGATATATCGTCTTTGGAGGTTTTCCGAAAAATACCTTGAGCCGATATATCGGCTTTGAGGGTTTTCGGAAAAATACCTTGAGCCGATATATCGGCTTTGAGGGTTTTCGGAAAAATATCTTGAGCCGATATATCGTCTTTGGAGGTTTTTTGAAAAATACCTTGAGCCGATATATCGGCTTTTCCATTACGACTACAATTTAAACACATGTAATGACACTTTATTTTTATAAAATAAGTTTGTATAGTGGAACATACGTTTATTGGATAGTAATAATAAAAATTGTAATAAAACCTGAAAATATTTTCATTTTTAAGTGAGATATGTTAATTTTAAATAGATATCTCATAAACTGCATATTTTTCAAGGTATTCTTGGACGGTACTCCGAAAGCTTATGAGGTACTATAAGAGTTAAACGATCGATAACCTGCGTTCGAACTTTCCGCGCTTCGTTCTCTATTTACCGATCGTCTAAGCGTGTTAAGGTGGCTCACGCAAACTTTCATTAAATATAAATTTAGTTGAAAATTTAACAGAACATTCTTATAAGCTTCAACTTTCGATTGCTACCTCAAAATTGCAAGGTCAACGATAAATTTATTGAAAAAGAGACGTTATAAAAATATTTTTTTCACACGAACCTTGTGGAACTGTAGCTGATACTGAGAAGTTAATCACTTATTATTTAATTACAAAAAATTACGTTTTCATACAAAACTAGGTTATAGATTTTTTTACGGAGATTATGATGGCATAGAAGAAAATATATGTTAACGATCAAATAAACCTAAAAATGAATATCAAAGTATGCGAACTTAGGTTTCAGTGCGTTTGGCAGTTTTCCTTATGGTTTGTTCGACGAACTTTCCAATTTTTTCTCAAAACTTGAACAAAAAATTAAATTTTTTTACAATAAGGAAAAGAAATTTTGTTTTTTCCATTTCAGTATTTCAAATTAGTTGAAAATATTAATCATTCAAATTAAATTGCTAAACTTGATAAAAAGTATAAGCCCCAGCTAGATACGACACCAAACGCGTGAGCTACCTTAAGACCGATATCGAGTAAATCATACAGCTACTCTAGTGATGGGCACCATCGACTAAAAACTATCGACTAAGTCGATAGTAACCAACGACTACGTGCAGTCGACTAAATTTACTCGCTTGAAGCGACTACTTCAGTCGACTAATATTAGTCGCTTGAAGCGACTAAATTTAGTCGTTTTAACTATTGAGCTATTGACTGGATCTTGTCTATTTTCTTCGCGATGCAAACCAATTGTAACTTTTCCATATATTTTTTTATGCATTCCCAAGAACTGTGCAAATTATTGCTTATAACTTAATTGATTTTCATAAAAAATTTATAGCGGTTAATTTTTTAAGTGCCAATATTAAATAGCTTACAAAAAATCGAATATTAGTAATTGTTTAAAAAAAACTCGTTTACCACTTACATTTTTCAAATTCTATCTATGAACTAATACATTTCCAAAAGGTAAATACACCAATGGTGCTGAAAAGTTGATGACGTAATCTATACATAACCTATAAAGCAAAATTTCAGTCGACTAAAAACCATCGACTAAATAGTCGATAGTATATTGCGACTAAATAGTCATTAGTCAATAGTTTAATTTAGTCGATGGTGCCCATCACTAAGCTACTCTATGGCAGAACGGTGTTTCCGAAACAACACGAAAATATGAGATGCAGACCTCTTTCTTGGTAGTGCGCGTTGTAACGAGCATTGCTCAGGTCTTGGAGCAGAGTGTCCAGTTCCGAGAGGTTGTTGTTCAAAGAGGGCATTTTCCCTCCGGCACCGGTTTTCCCGATGGTCTCCTCGATGGCCTCGCGGTTCTGGTAAGTCGGCTGCAAAACAATACTCATACGGGGATCGTTTCCATGACCACGATATCGTGGAAACTCTATCTTCGTCTCCTTAGGGCGAAGAAAAATACAAACGAAAAATTCGAGGAACCAAACTCGTGTGGGTTCCTCCACAAGCGTCGTTGGCTGCTGGATGGTTCGGATAGTAGAGACAGAAAAAAAAAAAGTAGGCGATTCGAACGGTCTGCCAAGTTCCCGTAGAGGCACGCATTATTTCAAAACATGATGTCACTAGATACCGCGCGCAGCGACCATTTGTAAATACATTATCAATTGGACGGTCGAGAACAGCGCGCGGAGGACAAGGCGTCATACACTTTTAATAGAAATTCCCTCTCCCTCCCGTACACGACGAGCAAAATCCACCGACGGATTTTCGTGTTCGTTGCAAAATCCTCGAATCCGTTAAACGCCGTCCAACCGGTAGAAAACAGATCCCAGATTGCGAATCGACATCGAGAAAAGTCGAACTGAACGTTCAGGAAGATTTGACACTGTGTGATGAATGGGGGACGAGAAGACGTGGTTTGCTGTACGATTTTAGGGGAATCACCGATCGATGGATTCGTTCGTTCACGATTGAACACTGTACAAACAACGATACAGATCCCGATGGTGGAAACTAGGTTGCTCGATGAGCTGTCACGTCCAAAAATATCCATAGGCGAAAACCAGAAACATGTCGCGAGCACGCTGAAATCCTGCGTGATCTCCCTGGTTAAAATCCGTTCGACCCGATTCGAGGGAACACGAGAGGAGTCACGAATCGCAGCCGGCTGCGATACGGGTTGGACGCGCGCGCGCGTTTTAGCTCCTTCAAGGCTGCTGGATCAGAAAATAAACACGGGTCTGTAAAAAGTCTGGCGACTCGCGGCACATGCGGATCCATGGAATTATTCATAAATCACGGATTCGCCATCGTGGACCACGTCTCTTGTCCTTGGATCTCCTGTTCCGCAGTGAAGGCACGTTTTCATGCGACTGTAAAAGTCGACTTTCTGTTATCGTGACACTGGTGTGACAATGTAAACCAATGTTACGAGAGTGCGACATCTAGGTTTCACGACGACAAAAATCGTAACGTTTCGTGTCATGACTGTAAAAGTCACGATATTTACTGTCACGTGAAAATATACCTTGAGTCCGATCAGGTCCGGATTCAGATTTCTTGCGGCCCAGGGCGACTAAACCTTTTGGGGCACCCTTGGTTGTAAAGGGGCGGTACAAAATTTTTGTACCGCAACATACAATAAATTACATAAATTTTCAAAAACTGAAATGTATTCTAAGTAAAATTAAATATCATTTTTTAGACTGCGGATTTTATGCATTTATAGCAGACACGATTTTCTAGAATTCATTATACACAAATATTTCATAAATTTTAAAGAAATTTTTATTTTCTTTGGAGCCTGGTAGAACGGTAAATAAAATAAACAGATCCTAGTTTGACTCTAGTTTCAGTAAACTAACTCTCAAAAATTTATATCTGCATAAAAATACGCAGTCTAATTATAACTAACAGTGCTTCGTTATATTTCAAAAACTTATTGTATGATTTTTTTACATAACTGGAAGGCTTAGATCGGGGCCCCCCTGTCCCCCACCTTAATCCGACACTGCATACGATGCAAAGGAAGCTTGTTCAGCCTCCGAATGGAAACAGAATGCTCGTTTCTCGGCGATATCGAGAGGCCCGTGTTGTATCGCGGAGAAGATGCAGGAATCGATGCATTGTGTGCGCAAAGTTTACGCAACGGTCCTCGAAATCCGCGCGCGCGGTGACACGACTCGCCCCGAGTAGGACGCAATCGTCTCGTTCCTCGCTTCGTGCTAAATTCGAATCAATGGGAAAGCTTGATTGGTCTGACCTTCGGTGACGTCCGTCGACGATTCTTTAACCGTCGAATCCAGACGGCTGTAACACGCGTCCGGGTTCGAAAAGCTTTGACGACCAGAAGTACCACGGAACAGACGGCCGAGACCGTTCCAAGATCGCGTTTTATCGTTCGTAGTAGTGACGTGCGATATATTTGAATCGTATCGATACATGGTATCGATACGTATTGATACCCAGAGCATCGATACACATGTATATCGGGAATAAAATATCAGGAGTAGCGGTATCGATACTTGCAATTAAATTAGAAATAATAATATCGAAAAATGAAAATAAATCATGTATTTAAGTTAATATTTATTAAGGCAGATTCTCAGGTAACAGTGCGTGGAAAAGAAATCGACCAATCGCAAACTTTATGGAAAGCTCGCGATTAGTCCAATCTTCTTACAACCTGTTACCAGGGCCGTTCCTGGGCGGCCGCAGATCGTTTACTATATGTAAAATTTTGGCTAGCAGAAATAATAATCAAGACTTTTTTCAAAATAAGTAAATTTTAAACAGATAGAATTAAAATTAATTTTATATGTAATTTTTGTAATACTTTATGGACTGCCTACAGTAGCATAAGATATTTAGCCATATTTATTGGCTTAAATTCGTGTAGGTGAATGATTGCTATTTATCAATCATACATCATTATTACAAACATTATACGTTAGTCTTGTACTTATATGTGGAATAAACTATTAATTTTAAACAAAACCATTTTTTTAAGGATCTCCATTTCATTTTATAAAAATAAAAGTTAAGAAATTTTTGAATGACAATTGTTGAAAAAACTATACAGATATAAAAGTAAAGACTACATATCAAATTCTTAATTAAATAATGAAATATGACGGCCAACAACCCAGGAACAGCCCTGCCTGTTTCGTTACGGAAAACGCAGTGATTGTATCGAAATTTCGATATTTATGGGTTAAGTATCGATACTGGAATATATCGTCGCATTAAATATCGATACCGTATCGCCCTTCACTAGTTCGTAGCCAAGAACGTTCGGTCGTAACCGTCCGAAGTCTGTTCTCCTATCGATCGACAACCTACGACCACGCGTAATTCCCAGAGATACGTCGTTTTTCCCTTTTTATCGCGATGATTTTTCAAACTCTCCGGTTTCCCCCGGTTTTTCTGTTTTGGCAAGAACCGAACGATCGCGTGCACATAATATACAATCTATTTATAAGCTCGCGCAGCTCCAGGCATCCTCGAAAAGACATTCGCTAATACCTGTACGAAGTCAAGATCGAGTGTCTCCTACCTCGCTAGATTTTGTCTACTTCGAACCTCACTTTTCTCGAAAAATAACGATGTTTCGTGGGAGAATAAATGACAACGTCGATTAAAAACACCACCAATTCCTGACGAACTGAATAATTCACGGGGGGGGGGGACAAAAAATAAGCGAGTATAGCGCGACGATTATCCAACGAAATGACCCTGGGCTCATAATGACAGCCGATCGATCCAACGAGTTTGGTCTAAGTGAATTAGTTTCAATTAACGTTTTCTAATCCGACACGTGACTCGTGGTTCGGTAATCGGAAATTATACCGTAAATAAATTGGCGTGTTTTTAAAAAAACGTTTTTTCTTTTCAAGTCATCCAATCCGAGCGAGACGTTTCAGTGACAATAATACAGTTGCAGAAAAAAAATATCTATTACACACCTTGTATTTTTACCATCAATTGACAATACTGTTTTTAGTATAACAACAGGTTAGCAATTATTTCTATCAGCCTATAACTTTAATATAAAGCTAACTTGTTCTACAATACTAGAAAGTACAGTGAATCCTCGATAAGTGTTCGAATGCTCCTCGTCACTGACAAGTGCCAACGATGGTTATTCCAGCCGCGTATAGCCTTCAGTTAATGAAATATTTAATGTTCAATGCCGAGCCTTCGAACACTCATCGAGAATTTACTGTAAATCATGGTTAACCTAAATATTACAGTGAAATTGGTATTGTCAATTAACAAGCGTAATACGGTTGTAAATTAAACATTAACTAACCGTAACAAGCGTCACTAGTGTACGGATACTTTTATTCCTCGACTGTATGCAGAAAAACACCGATTCTTGCGCAACGAAGGCGACACTGAAGAAGCACAGAGTGCGAGGCGAGACCGAGCAATTAAGGTTTCGGATGAAGTTGTATTTTACGATAAGTATCGGGTCTGGCAGTACTCTACTGTGCAGTTGGCTCGCGTTGGCCGTATCCACTTTACACGCGAGAAACCAGGAAATTTTTGTCGGCCAAGTGGATCGACGAAAATCTGAATAATAGATGAAAAGAATCGATAGACCACGGCGGGAAACGTAACAGGTGTTGTTTCACGAACGGAAACGATCGATTCGAAGTCGAAAGAGACCGTTCCCCGTTCAAACGACACGCTTCGCCGCGAAACCATGTTTTCCTTTCGCTTTTCGCGTCTTTTTACTTTCACCCTGAGAGCGTTTATTCCCTTCTTTTTCAATTCCGTTTCACGGTTTTAAGTAGGTACATGTAACTATACGTGGAGATAAAATAAAAAAATAGGTTTGAAGAACACATATAACCTATAATTGATATTTCGGTAATATTGTGCAATTCGGTCGGTATCTTCGATTTTCTTGGAACTTTAATACGTTGAAAGGGGCTGTCGAAAACGGCAAAATATCATTTTAAAAAATTTCGCAAACAATTATAAGTACCTTTAATTTCAAATTAAATTTGTAACCGGAACCTAACCTAAACGTCACTATAAATGCCGATTAAGTATAAGAACATAAGCTGTAAACAGTAAAAAAAGAAGATTAATTGTTTATTTCCAATGTATTACACTGATCAGAGTTAGCTAGAGCTAGTTTAATAAATAAAAAAATAATTTTGCCGTTTTAGAGAATCCCTTTTAACATATTAAGGTTTGAAGGAAATATCGAAGAGAAGATCAACCAAATAAGTTGAGATACCGACCGAATTGTACACTATTACCGATATTTCTGAAAGGTCTCGAATCCTTCCGAATGTGAGCCAAACTGTCGTTTACGTACACATGCATCTACGTCGTATATGTAAAATCTATTTATCGTTGCGCAAAATATTTTTGGTAATCGGTCAATTCCGTTACAGACGATTAAATAATTCACGGTAATGGCCCGTGACGGGAGGGAAACGAGACGCGATTGGTCGTTAACCGTGGGGCATATTTGAGAATCTGCCGAGCCGTCGAAAAGAGCAAATCGATCGTTGAAACTGGACTATTTCGCATACGTGTGTTTTCAAGGAACGCGACATTGCCCGCTCGTGACCCGAGCTCGCATTTGTCCCACCACGTATACATGGTGGTTCATAAATGCATGTCAATACTTCAGGGGGTAAATACACACTAATATAAATAGAAAACGTCATATGAACATATGTCCTATGTACCTTAGTTTTTGAATTATGGATGATTAAAGAAAATATTCGAAGTGTACTATCTCAACCTATTAGACTGTCACTTTTGGGGCCATTTAAAAACTATTGTGCATTCAACGCGAGTGAATAATGTGTACAATCTACAAGAAAGGACATCAGATGGATTTCAGACTATTCGAAGAATACCTGGAATTTTCAAGCTAGCGTGGAACTGAATGCTACGAAGTAGTGTCTGTTGAGGCACGAAGTGGGCACTTCGAACGTTTCCTTTAATCATCCGTAACTCAAAAACTAAGGCATATCGGACATATGTTCATATAACATTTTTTACTTGTTTTGGTGGTTAGATTTACCCCCTGAAGTATTAATATGTATTTATGAATTACCCTGTATATACACACGTCCGTGGTGCGTGTCCCTCTTTTACGGACCCAGAGTTTTTGTGGCCCGGCGATTCGGCCAGTCAATTTTAGAGGCAATATCGATTCTAATTTTAGCGATCCTTTGCGTCATCTACGCGTATTCTCGAATGTATCTATTTTGCACGCCACACCGCTACATCTACAGAGCCTCTCGTAATTTCTTCCGAAATTGTAAATAATTATTTCTATTTTCGAATCCGCAACACGATTCCTTGCGACGCTCAACTCGAACAATATAATTTTGCGAGGTCCATGAAACTATCTGTTTATCTATAGTCTATGTAATCAGGGCTGCCAATAGCCGTACAAAAATACTGAATACTTAATGTTCGAAAGTTAATCAGCACGGAACATTCGTCTGTCACGCGAAGAAAATTGCAAAAAATTCTTTTTTAATGGCTCTGCGCACTATTCCCACGGATCGTTTCAAGCTGATTTCACGCGACCGATCGCTCTATTTCGAGAGATTATGGAAAATCGAGCGAAGGTCACGCCGACGAAATTGAAAACGAAGCCCACGGACAGCGCGTCCCCGCGAACTACTGTGTCACCCTCGCCATCTATGCCAGGAATCCACAGTTCAAATAACCGAGACACCTCCGGACATCCGTCGATAAAACAACCGCGACTCTTCGTCCGGTTGCGATACCACAATCGAAACGATGAGTTCTGTCGGCCTTCGAATATCGGTTGATTGAGTCGCAAATAAACGTTTTACATACCGATTGTGCCGGAAGAGGCGAAGTTCGATTATCGTACGATCTGTACGCTGTGGTTCGGGCGCCGTTCAATGATCCATATCCAGGCGTCGCGTTGCTACCAACATGATTCCCTTCCGACGACACTGTGTTCTGCAAATCTGCCAGTAGCGCGTCTGAAAATCAGCAATTCCATAGTTTGAGAAATATATCTTCGATTATTCTTAACGATTCAATCAGAAGAAATGAATTTGAGGCGAGTTATGTCATCTTTCACGAGACTACTTGTATAATAGAGCCCCCCCCCCTGGGGAACTTATGTGCTTTGAAAATTCCGTATAATTTATTCGTGAAAACTGAAACTGACTGACACGTTTATACAGTTATGTCATGTTTGCTGAACGGACGTCTCGGGATTTCGCAATTCAACAAGATTAATGGGTTCGGTAACAGCTGTATTTAGAATTTACGTCGTTTTTCTCTAGTTTACAGAGGAATTTTCATTGTCGATCAAGTTTGGGGTCATAGTGTAAACAGAAACATTTTCGATATCGTCGAAGACCGATAAAAGAAACCGATGACGCGGAGAGCAGTGTGTTTGACGAGTAAAGCTTCGAGATAAACGCAGAAGGTGGCCGTAGCGGCGCGAATTGAAAGAAAACGGGATATCGTTTACCGAGGCTAACGAAATTCGTCTCCGTTCTCTCGGTGTTGTACACCTCGTACAGATTGTTCGCTTGGGCCTGAGACTCGCATCCTGCTTCCATCGCGGGAACAGAAATCCGACGACACACCCACTTGTATCGAGGACGTCGAACTCTGCCACGGATTTCCGGTCGAATCGACGAAACACCAACGGGTCGAGGCGAGACACTTGCGAAACGTGTATGCGTGTTCGCGAGAATTTAGATGACCTCATATATACGAACGAACGGGTCTCGATTTCCTATAGAAATCGGGCCGAACGATAACGGACACCGATCGAATCTCGATGATACAGTAAAACACTTGCACCTATTTCCAGAGTTTTCGGAAACTTTCATTCACTTTCGAAATTCGACGGTATTTAGTTGCATTTAAAGAGTTTCCACATTAGGGCGAACCGACACGAGAGCCTTTTAGAATTTCCCCGTATGACGCGCCACCCAATCAGAGCTCTCGACGATTTCGGAATATAGTGGTGCGACGTCACGTGTCACACCGGAATATGGAAAGGACCAGCACGTACCGCCCCGCGTTTACTATGATCGGCGAAACGGTACTGATTGTCAATAAAGGTTCTCGGTAAGGCGACCGGCTTCGAGTTCAGAGGATAGAAGCCTGGAGGAGGTAAAACCCCCCGCCTCTGGATAAGGAGAAAGAGAAGGAGAAGGAACAGGAGATGGGAGGGAGTATTCTCATAACGAGGGAAGTAGGAACGCGATATGCTCGGTGTTCGCGACGATGGAAAAGTAACCTAGTCGGCTTCGCGGGTCCATGCTACGAAGAATCGTGTCGCATCACAGAAGCCCCTGCGGTGCTGCAAGCTGGAACCGAGCAACTGCACACACGGTTTTTCGTAGAATCGGAATACATTCGCTGTTGCCGTTCCAGACCGACCGGCACATTTTCTACGAATGTTGCGAGAGCCTAAGGTCGTCGTAACTGTGCCTACGAGCTTGTCTGGTTACGAAATATCTTTCTCCAAATCGCTTCGCATACACGAGCCCTTACTTGGCCGATAAAGGAGATCGTAAATGTAGGGGGGAGACCAGGGACGAATGTAACAACTGTTATAGACTGCGGATTTTTATGCGAAATTAAAGTTTCTAAAGTAATTTATAAAGACAGGAGCAATCGTAGAAATTTATTTTCCTTCTTACGTATTGGGCTCAGAATAAAATAGAAAACTCGTTGGATCGGATGAAAGTTTTATTTTTTATTGCATTTCACGGAGCACCATAGGCTATAAATGCATAAAATCCGCAGGCTAGTTATAAAACAAATGCCAATTGACCAACAGTCCCCTCCCCATATCTTTATACACAAATTCCATCTGTCCTTCATCTCAAAAAATTTGGCTTACGAGTTGGCAATATGGCTAGCAGGGGCTATAGCCCTGGGCCTCGTTCTGTACCTTCTATTTCCTTATGATTAAATGTTATATAATTTTATTAAAAATAAATTTCAATTTTTGAAGATTTATAGATTTTGTTGTACTGTATTATTAAAATCCCCACCCTCCGGCTGCTTTTCAACCAAAGGGGCCCTCGAAAATCTGATAGCCCTGGACCACAAAAAATCATGATCTGGGCCTAGGATTACAAAAGTAACAAATGAGTGATTTTAAAGAAAATCTTATTTCAAAAAACTGGTATGATATATTCTAAGTTTCAAAGTTTGATTATGTTGTCCAATAATCAAGATTTCTCGTCGTGTAAGAATTTTTTAAAAATTCTACTGTATTCAAAAAATATTGTTACATTTGTCCCTGGTCTGCCCTACTACAGAATTAGTGTTACAAGCGTATAAATATACATGTCGATTTTTAACCATTTCCACGGGATAATCTGCACAATTTATAGCTGAGGGTAACAAGGTAATTCTTTTAAAAATATCTCCTGACTTGATATTATTGATATATATTTTGTAACATCTCGCGTATACACAAAATTCGTCGAATGGGGACAGTAGCCGTGCGCTTGAATGAGCAACGCACACAAACATTGGCAAGAGATCTCTCTGCAGAGAGCTTTCCCGAATCTATTTTATACTTCTGAATCATACGGTCAATTCGGGCATTAATATTGCGTGATACGTGCGTAACGCAACTTCGTCGTAAATCTCTACAGCGTTAAACGGCCCTGGTGTCTTGGTGAAACGATGATCGATGAATTATATACAAGAAAAAAATAATGAATAGAATATAGATGTTGGAATTCATATGGTTTGTTTTGTATTTGGGATTCGAGGTTCTATCGATCACCATCGACTAGGGCTGCCATCCGGGTTTCCTCGAATTTGTCCTCTACCTTTTTAGGGCGTCCAGGGACGTAAGTTAAATTTGCCTATTTTATAAATTATTTCAAGTCACAAATAAATTCCTACTTTGTACAATTGTATTTTATCTTTATTTCTTGATTGCGGTTACAGACTATAATTTACAGAAATTTTTGTCTTGGAATACCGTACGTAATATAAGAAATAGTTCGAAGTGTTCGGATTTCAAGTGGAAATGTCCAGGGTTTTAATGCTCTCTGTCCTAGATTAATGATTTTACGGATGGCAGCCCTACCAACCGACGAACATTGTTAATACGTAGTATGGTTATCGTATGATTTCACGAACGTATTAACCCTTACATTATACAGCTACTTACTAATGTACTGTTCCCAGCGTGCGTGTTTTTGGATGGTCGCCAAGCGAACCGGTGTGATCGGTGACACAGGTCTCATAATGTCGGTCATATCACTGCGCTTTCGACAGCGTGGGGCGAGAAACGATCGAAAACAAACGGAACGTATATGTACGTACGCGATTCCCTCGTAACGGTTACGCTACTGGTCAAGCAAAACCGAGACGGTGTCACTTTGAACTGTCCACGACCTGAAATCACTAGACACTGATTCCCGTGAACCTTACGAGCGTAGATAGTGTAAACACGAAGGAGAGGACAGACGATGATTACGAGATCGCAATTTCTACATAGAAAACGTTCGAGATAACTCTCTTCTGTTGTCAATTTCTTACGATTACGTATTACGGACCTGGTCGTATGGAATCCCACTTGAAAACACGCGTCTAACCACGACGTAAACGAACCACCAGAGTGGTTTTCTGAAAATCTAATCGTAGTCACGATCCTTGATGCATTGGACGTGCCTGGGTGGACTCGTGGAAAAAAAAAGAAAAGAAAAGAAACAATATATACGTTGAGGAAAAATTGTATAAGGAAACTAGCAAATTGGGATCGTAAGGATTTTCGTAGCTACCTTGAACGGGCCAGATTGGACAAGATGCTATAACGATGATTACGAAATTGAACAGTTATATATATGTATATATATATATATATATATATATATTTCAGCACTCTAAAACGTCGCGACCGATCTGAAAATCACAGTGTCGAGTAGGTATATATATATATATATATGTCGTCACGTGCGGATAGCGAGAAGCGTGCAAACGAGCTCGCGGGCAGATTATCGATAGAATTACCACACGTAATGTGTTGCGGGATCAGATCGGAACTGGCAGCACGTGTTGTTTTTCAGGCTGCATCTGCAGAATCTGTGTTACGTGAATTCATCTCCTCCTTCCCTTTGTCCATGTGTGCCGCGGCCTCCCTACCCTCCCCTCCTCGACACACAACCTTGCCGCCTGATCATCTCTCTGTTGCGCACCTTCGTTTACACACGATAGTTATAGGTGAACGTTTTCACCTAGATATTCCTCCACGCCGCGACGACGACAAACTTCCCAAAAATAACTCCCGACTAGCGAAAGAGAGAAAGAGAAACTTTGCTCGCGTTACCACGGCTGTTTACATTATAGAGGTTAGGTTGGTTCGCCTAGCGTGACCACCTAAATTACTCGTAAATTATTGACTGTACGAAAAAATATTTTCAACAAAAGTTACATGATATCAACGGAGAAGTATAATGCAATAATATTTTTTTTACTATGTTACATTTTTATCGAGATATAACGGTCATGGTCAGTTTTTTTAAATGGAATGATCAAATTTAAAAAAATATTGGGCAATCGATTTAAAAATCTAAAGGTGGCTGTTGTATCATTATAAAAATGTAATATAGTAAAAAACATATTATTGCATTGTATGTTCCCCTACATACCATGCAACTTTTGTTCAAAATATTTTTTCATACAGTCAATAATTTACTGTACTTATATGCCGGAACAGCGCGATCAGACATTCAAGAGTAAGAAAGACAGTGCTACAAGTTTAACCGATAAGAAGGGAACCAAACACGAAACAAAAAACAACATAAAGAATTGGCTGGATCGAATAATTGCCCTATTATCTCACGTATCATCGATGAATTCCCGTGCTAACACAGCGAGAGTCAAGATTAACCTAACTTGTGGAATTACGTTCGAAATTGCGTAGGAAGTCGAATCACGTGGTGTGTGTGTGTGTGTCCCGCCCGATATGGGCGCGCGTAGATCACTTATGGCGCGATCCAGGAAGAAGAAATGCCCACGCGTGTTTACCTTGGTGTGCTAAAATGATCTATTTTTAAGCACGACAGTGTACACTGTAAACAACCGTGGCCCCCTATAGAAAAAATACTTTAAACGGCTGGCACATCGCGATCGGAAACGCCGGAAAAATTGCTCGGTTCCGTTTGCTCGAAAAGCAATCAAGTAGAAAGTAGCAGATTTATAAACGAAACCCAACTATCCAACGATTAACTAATACAATGCAAGTCCAACCGACGACGCTCGTGTTATCGTGAAATATTTACGATAGCAGATAAATCGCAAACAACGACTACGCAACTCCTACGATTTTTTGTTAAGTAAGGTTATGAATACACTTACGGTTGTTTTAGAGTAGGGAGGAATGACGAACGCGATAGTAGTATAATAAATTTTTCCTCTTATTATGAACTGACCATAAAGAATATACAGGTATAACTATATTTAAACTCGCCCAGTCATGTTCACTAAGAGGATTAGGTCAAATCGTCGAGTCAATCACGCTTGTGGTATTCATTTTATCTAGAATGTATAAACCGCAACGAAGCGTAATGAATGAGTCTCGTTCTACGATCTCCTACTGCTATGACTAAAGTTTCACGCCTAAGTGACAGGACATTTTTAGTCGAGCACACACTTCAAACCTTTCACCGGACTGATTGAAGGGGAACAGCAAAAACTAGTCTACGAAGATAATTTTTCATATTACTCGGCTTCCACTAGGGGAAAAAGTGGCGTAGGGGAAGGGCCTCCTACCACTTGATAAACTGATTTCAAATATTAAAATAAATGCTAAATCGAATGTTAATTTGACATATATTTCAATAATTCTCGATACCAAATAGCAGGAGGTCCTTCCGTACGTCACTTTTTCCCCTATTGGAAACCGAGTTTGCTCTTAATTGTACAAGGACAGTAATGTATGTTAGCAAGTATGAGAGAAATTGTTTCAATTAGACGAAGTATCCGAGAATCGTGTTCGTTTTCATGTATTGTTTAGAATCGACGAAAGGGTGGCTGTTAGAGAGGAATTCTAGGATCGATAAAGTAGCACTCTGCGGTAAAATCAGTGTTACGCTTATCTAATAGAGGGCATACACTCCAAGTATCAACACGCACAGAGTAGATTTTTAATTCAAACTTCACTCAACGCGGTGCAACAGAGATCGGCCACCACGGTCATTCAAGTAAACATTTCCATAAAAAGATTGTCGGTAAATAATGACTCGAACAATTATTTCAGAAAGTTTAGTGTCAAGGCGACCCACGTTTGTAGGTGAAAGGTATTCGAAAAAAAACAAACTCGTGCGAACTGTTGCATCTGTGAGTCATCACGTCGGATGAAATTGAATGTCCATCTCGAAAACAATTCACGGGACGTACACAAAAATTTTTCGAAACTGTACACGTCGATCGGCACCGACATGAAACTGCATAAATTTCAAAGTAACTAATCTACGCGTTAACCTTTGATGATACGCCAGAAATATAATTTTGACAGTGGTTCAAGTGCACTGCAAATTTCACGAAACGCGCAGATGATTCACGAAGGAAAAGTCTGTTCCGAATAAAATTACACAGTCGATCGAATAATCATGGCTCGTGCTTCACGCGAAGGTTATTGTATCACTGAAATTGTTCGTATTTCCAAATTGGATACTCGGCTAACAACAAGTTTGTTTTCAAACGTTCCGACGCGAGCCGTGAACCAATAAACAACAAAAATGGAGAATTCCATAATTCCAGGCAATTGAGCTTAATTTAAAAGACTGTTGTGGCACGTTATCGCACGCAAAGTCGTGCAAAAATATAAATACTACAAATAGGTGTAACATATCGACGAACACATTTAACATTAAAACAAACGTTAAAAACCGAAAGAACAGAATCGAATTAAGAAACATTTCTAATTTATACTTCCGACTCGATTCTTATTAGACATGCAAATAGGTCGCGTATACACACGCATGTGCATTCATAATCATCAGAAATAATTTTCTCTTAACGTCTCTGATATCGTTTAGAAAAGAAAAAAAAGACCACGTTAATATCGAACAGTAAAGCCGACGAATATAAAAATAAATGATCTGAAACTCACATCCAGGTGGTAAACCCTTTTTGACGGTGATTTTGTACGGCTGATAGATAGCGCCCGGATCTAATTTCCCGTACATGGTTCTGTCCATCGCCATGCTCCTATCGTCTTTCCGTCGTCGCACCACTTGTCAAAATATCGAACCGATATCCATGAACGCGTTTCACGCATGCAGAACCACGAATTTCTCGTCGGACACGCACAAGCGCACGTATTATTGTCATGTAACACTTTTACCGCGGCAATGTTTCTCTTTGCAGTCTATCACGAGCGAGCCCAGCTGTATATAGACGATCGATAGATACTTAGGTGGTGGGGTCGATGCACACACCGAACGGCCACTTGTTGAATGCCGTCTGAAAATTTTACACGCGCGGGCGGCACACCACACGAGTGTTTATATATGCGTGGGTTTGTACCCTGATTTTCGTTGAACAATATTGCTTCTAAATACGTATCCCGGATTTTTCGTGAATCACATCGATCGCCAGGTGTATCTCAGCCTGTCACGACAGAAAGATCTTAATTTACGCGCCACGAGTACGTTAAAATTTGTGCAGGAAAGGGGATACTTTTCTCGACACGCGATCACCGCCCCCTTAAAATGCGACAAAACGATTCACGTGCACACGATCGAATGTTCGTGATGAACCGCAGTTGACCACGGGAAAACGAGAAGTTCAAACGTGCAAGTGTATTTCAAGCGCTCGCTCGGAATCGGCGAGCCGTCGTCCCCTCTACACCCGCTGGCGGCGAAAACATGAGGACAACGCCGCAGTGAATACACTAAAAATACATAGAATCGTTGGCACGTGACAACACGGGGAACACTTCGCGATATTACACGCGTATCCCGAAAGTAGTTTCTTCTGGCTCGGCGTACCATTCCCGGAACACGCGTTTCTTTCCTTTTGAAGTGAATTCTTTTGTCTTTACGACTGACAAACGGTCGTTGAATAGTATGTAGATATTGCGATGAAATTCTACTCGTGACTCTTGCCCAGTGCTTTGGAATTACAGTAAATGGATCCTTACTACGGTCCATTGAACAAACTGGTGGCCATTCGTTAAGACCGAACTCAAGTTTCATAGAAGATATAAATAAATCGGCTATAAACTCCACTGTAAACGTGCCCGGCTGTTATATGAATTTATAGCTTTACCACGAACGATTAATTTCGTATTTCTGAACAAATCTGATTCTTACAAAAGTTTACGATCGAATATTTATATTTGAAAAGAAATCAGTCTTATTCAAAGTGAATGCGAACCGAGTAACTGAGAAACGCACGAAACCGGACGATTATGCAGTACAAATGCTCTGAACGGTCATGCAACGTAGGTGTCACCATGGAAATTAAGATAATAGTGTTACGCGCTCGCATTTCTTCAATCTTTTACAATGATTTTAATATGTATCATGAATTTTATAGTTTAATCTAACGATGTTTTATGCAATACACATATAACAAATAAACGCAATTATGTAAGTTATAGTTAGTAATTAAAGTTTTGAGAATAAATGTGCCCTCTCGAAAGAAAAATCAAAAAATTCTGCTAATTCAGCTTTACGTAATTAAAAACAAACGTCATAACAGATAAGCAAACGTCAGTCAGATAATTTATCAATGTTGCACCGTTATTATAGAGAGGATAATTCACAAAAGCCTATTATATTAATTTATGAAAAACAGCTTTATGGGAACAAGTAGTAATGTAAAATTTATTCGAAACATGATATTAAATGATAAAAAAATATATAAATACATGTATGTGTATTGACGATCTGACAGTCCGAGATTTAAATTTGAGGTTAGCTCATAAATCGTGCGATTAATCACGAAGTTACTTACCCAAATCATCCATGCTTAGTTTACGTCAATCTTGTATGCACTATTGTGAAAATTACACCCAAACTTTAACAATTTCAATGTGGATACACAAACATATATGTAAAAATTTAATGCCCACCAACTTGTCCGCGTTGAGCAAACCAAACATCAAATATGGAGAACCCCGGTCCTATTCAACTTCCAGTTCCAGTAATTTCTTGTCTAACCTTCACATAAGATGGCAAATTCTCGCTCGATTTTTATTTCCCGTAAACTTTATTTACAACAATAATACATATTCGTATATAATATTTTATTTATCTTATCATTTCATATACACAACAATACAAATATTGTACAGTTAGAACTAAAAATTTCAATACAAGTTATTTTACCAAGAAGAAAAATCACCAAACGAGTTTGCCGTGGCTGTTTTCTTCTTTGCTACAGGTTCAATGCTAGATTCTTCTTTCTCCACTCTGTAAATGAATTCAAATGGTTAGTAATAACCTTCTTGAAATATACCAACTCTACATATATATGTATTAACATTACTTGTTTTCGTCCTTATCCATTTTAATATATTTTCCTACACCCGACCGGTATATTTTTAATTCGTTTTTCTCCATTTTATTAGAAGATTTCTTTTTTGCCGCTTCTTCAGCTAATCGTGTCGCTTCAACTATACGTTCAGCGGCCAACTGGTCGTCTGCTTCTTGAAACGGATCGACAAATACCTGAGTTTTCTGTATCACTATATCATCTATCGGTCGATCTTTGTTGTCTACGTCGATTTTTTCAATAGTATTTAAGGTTTCCAGTCCACCTACTATTTTACCAAATACAGTGTGTTTACGATCTAAGTGTCTGCATGATCGAAACGTGATGAAACTGTAATTAAAGAGAATGGGACTAGAAATAATATTTAAACATCAAACATTTAAAATATATAAATGTAAATAGAATATATACAATTGTGATCCATTTGTGTTTGGACCAGAATTTGCCATTGACAGAATACCTCTGCCTTGATGAATCAAGTTTGGCTTGAATTCATCTTCAAATTTCTTGCCCCAAATAGATGTTCCTCCATTACCGGTATTTGTAGGGTCACCACCTTGTATCTGAATACATCAATATTAATTTTTTTATCGAATGAAACTTTTAAACAGAGGAATTAAGTATACTTACCATAAAATTTCGTATCGATCTATGAAACTTTGTTCCTTCATAGTAACCATTCTGGCAATGTTTTATAAAATTTTCACATGTTTTTGGAACAAGATCACAATGAAGCTCCAAGTTTAAAGCACCAAAATTTGTAACCACCCTTATGTATCCTTAAAGCGAGTATTACACAGTTAAATAAAAAATGTAAAACTTATGTTAGGTCGTTACCTTTCTTCTTAACCCTTTCATATCGTACTAAATCTTCTGCAATGACTGCTGCTTGATGAGTGGTCTCTCTTGGCATTACTGTCGACGTAAAGCCAGCTGCTACTGCACCGGTAGAATAATGTGCCTATGTGAAGATATAATTGTACTTGTACATGTTTAGTTAGAAATATAGGACAATAGTTTTAATATACAAACCGCATTAAATTTATCTGCTTTCGGTTTGGTAACTTCTTGTTTAGTTTCAGCTTGTTTGAAATCTCTATCCAACTCAGCTAGTATTTCTTTAGTTTCCATAGACACAGTTTTTAACTTTGCATTCGGATTATTTCGTTCCTTTATAGTTTCTAAAAGATTATCATTAATCTTTATATGCACAAAGCATTTAGAAATAATAATTTCAAACATATGAAATATAAAATATTACCTTCGTCTTCTACTTTTATATTATTTTTAATATGATGAAAAGTTGATAAATTAAATTTTGTTACATTGTTTGGGTCTTGAATCGTAATGATATCTGTCCGTGTAAAAGGTTGATCACTTATTAAATCTCTCCAATTTCGTGACTTTATGTTCAATTGCTCAACTGCCTAAAAAAGAAAAATATTAACAAAGTGGTACATAGCCACAGACAAACATTCATGTCCATACAAACCTCGTATGAAAACACATTTCCAGTTGTTTTAATAGCAACAATGTGAGAATGTTTACTGAACAGTTTAAAGAGAACTGGACAGTGATAATGCCCATCTGCATTTTTGGCAAAGTTCAACTTTATTAAAGTCTTTGGATCTAAAGGTTTTCCTGTCACAGGATTATGTTTGAATCTCTTTACATATTCTAATATTGCTTCTAATTCAAATATATTTCCTTGTGGGTCACAGTAAGAATGTTCAAAGGGTTGTAAAGTTAAACAACAATGATCATAAGGTAAACGACGGAATGTTGTATCTTCAGTTTCCCCTACAGTTCCTGCCCTTTTTCCCCCATACAATGTGGACCATTCTGTGTATGTTAAATACCTACAAGAATAACAAATACATGTTAATGAACAATAACGTATACAATGAACAGAAATTGTTACCATGATAAACTATGTAACCTGTTTGTATCTTACATTTTATCCTTTTGATGTTGACGTTTACCCATTTTGACTTTTTTTTATATAATTTACTATTACTATATAATTTAAAAGTTTAAGTATCTATTTATTCTTAGATAATGATTATCACTTTCACTTTGCCGTCAATTTTGTAGAGATTTCTGCCCACTAGCAGTCAACACAGTTTGTCAGTCCCTCTAGAATAGGACAACAACAACTGCAGAATCACCATTTGAAAGGACAGCTGTTTCTTACGGCATAATATTTCACTGATGTATATTGTTTCCGAATATGTCAGACTATTCATTGAATTCCTTTGAATCGGTATTATGCATAAATTACCATCAATTGTAATATTTCTCAACTAAATATAAATTTTGTAATATTTGTTGCAAATGGTCAATACATTCATGGCGACATCTACGATAAAACACTCAAGCTACTAGCCAATTAATATATACTTTTGCCTCTAGATGACACATGCTTGCAACTTAATTCCCGGAATATCATAGTAGTGTACACTGTACAGCTGTCATTTGTAATCTCTAACGATAAACATGTCGGTGTTTCTTTACATCTTGTAAATACTGTGTTAAAAAATTAATTCCGAACGAAATATTAGGATTAGATAACGCTAGTTTCATTCTAAGAACATTGTAAACTGAGTACTTTCTGCAGCTATTAAATTCAACTAACTAAAGTCTTATAACAGTGGAAATATAATTGCGATGTCTCACCCTAAAGGTACATCAACGAAACTAACTTGTCCTTACTTTTTAACCATAAGCTGCTACCGTTTTCTAAAACTATGGATATATTAAGTCCATATGACGATATTCTGAAATGACACTTAGCAAAATAAATGAGTATCGGAACGATAATAAATAATCTTTTCGATTTTTAGTAGTTTAAAACAGGGGTAAATATTAAAACTTTCGCTCTTTTATTTTATGATTGGGTCAAGGTGGCAGAAAAAATCGTCAGTATCACGGCAATAAGAAAATCAACATTGGCGACAAAGGAAGAGAGGTAGTGAAGAGTATAAATGAGGATAGTTTGATTGTGCAACAATTTCGTGCTTATGCAGCTGAATTAGACGAAAAACACGATCGTTTCGAGAGGATCGTGAAAATTGGTAGAGATATTAACATAGAAAGTAAAAAAATCATTTGTCTTTTACATAGCATAGATAAAGAAAGCAAAGAAGAAAGCGTGCTACAAGAGACTGAAACGAGACTGCAAAATGTGGCTCAAAATCTTTTCAAACGTATTGCATTGGAACTAGAAAATCAAGATTTTTACCAATATTTAAAAGTTTATCGAGCTAGTTCAGAAGAATACATAGAAGCGCTTACTTTTTATCAATACTTGCATAGTGGTAATTTGCAAGGTTGGACAGAACTACAAAAAATTATTACTTATACAACTTCTGACAAATCTGATATCGAAACGTTAAATACTTTGGTCACTCCATATGAATACATCTTAGGAATCGCAGACTTGACTGGAGAACTCATGCGTAAGTGTATTAATAATTTGGCAACAGGAGACATTGCTAGTTGTTATCAAACGTGTAATTTTGTCAGAAATATGTACAAGGGGTTTCTTAGTTGTACAAACATGTCGAACAGAGAAATGAACAGAAAACTTTTCACATTAAAGCAAAGTCTTTATAAAATGGAAAATGTTTGTTACACCATTAAAGTGAGAGGTTCAGAAATACCAAAGCATATACTTGTGGATGTAGCAACTGAAAACTACGCGGAAAGCGACGAAGGATACCAAGTGTATTAATCATGTACACTATAAAATAATATAAACATTTTAGATGTTTACAAGCCAAATTCATAAATTCCATTATTTTTCAATGTTCCCTCGATATTGCTTACATAAATTTCAGTCATATAAACTAGACTTACCTATATGCTCCCATCAGTAAAGAATACCACCTATTATTACAAGCATATATTTATATACTTACAGATCCTCTTATCTCTGCATTTTCAATTTTATTACATTAAATAATACAACGAGTAAATGTTAATACGTAAATATGTGTCAAACGTTATAAATTTCTAAGTAAACAATTAGATCTGTATAAATTGAAAAATTTTGTAAAAATTTCCAGAAAAATATTTATCATTTTCCTAGTCTTCGATCCTAGTCATCATCCGATTCATTTATGAAATCATCATCCCAGTCATTTCCGAAATCATCGTCCGACTCCGCATCGCTAGACAATACATACTCCGATTCGTCGACAGATTCTTCCGCTGATTCATCCGCGGATAAATCTTCCAGATCGGATAAAGTATCTGAAGACGCTCTTACAGTCTCTCTACTTCGTTGTTTACGATGTGGACTAACTGCATTCGTCGCTGTATGTTTATACTGCATTTTGTGCTGAGGGTTCGTACGGTAACACCGTTTACCGTAAGGACAGGATTTTCTATCATCTGGGACATCATAATCAGAATCTCCAGGATGACTAAAATCAACTGTATGTCGTGGGTTTTTCCTACAAAAAAAAAAACAATTTTTTTGTAAATATTCTTGAAACAAGGGAACTAAACCAAAGTACCTATAACAATCTTTTCCATAATAGCATTTTTCCCTCCTGGGCCTGTCTGTTGTTACACTAGCAGATACATTTGGCTTGTCAACATGTACCGAAGCAGAAATTTCTGCCTGCCCTGTTGTGTAGGGCTCATTATCTTGGCTCTTAGAATTCGATGTGTGGATTTTTTTTTCAACTTTGGAGCTACTGTAAGAAAACACAGAAGAGGTAGTTGAATTGGCAGCTATTACAAGTATTCTATCATTGAGTATTATATATCAAAATTAAAGAGAAACCTAGAGGCTAGATGTTCCTGAACATTTTGTTCTGCTGATTCTGTGACAGCTATATCATTGGACAGATCCTGTTTGATCACAGTAATCTCTTTATTCTTCTCTTCGACTATATTATTATTATCGGTCCTTAGATTATTTGCTACGTTACGGGATTGTACATTATCTCCTTCTCCTATGTCCGTGCAAGGCTTCTTATCGGGTATGTCGCAACTTATTTCCTCTTTAGCCTAAAATTTTGGCTGTTAAAGAATGCTTGCAAATGAAATTGTACTATCGTCTAAACAATTATACCTTCCGTTTGATGGCGTGTTCTTGATCGTCTTCCATAGTAACAGGTACTGACATTACTTTGAACCAACATTTATGCGATAATAAGGAACAAACGTCGCCTGGCTTTAGTGGAACAGTAGTGCCCACTTTAAGAAGTTTCCACCGCGATGTTTCAGTAGATTTCATGTAACATGGTGAAACCTGATGCTAACAAAGTAATTCTTATAGAAATCTATTTAACACAGTACGCAGTTCGGACGAAAATGATGTTCATCTAATGCGTAACACACGCAAAAAAAACTGTACATATAAAGTGTACATTACCGGCGTTATTGTCATTTCATTGTCAGGCGATAAATTTATTGTTACTGCGTGTTTGATATTTTGATCATTATCCCACTGAAATTAACGTGTACAGAATAAGTTATCAGTTTAAAATCTTCGATGATTTTTAACGGAGCACAATAGTTTAATAACTAAACTCGAAACGCAATTATACGAAAAACATGCAAAAGCATCACGTGAGAGCGCGCGTTCGTTCACGCATGCGTGTGGAAAGTTTTATGTGTACAAAACACAATTTCAAATTAGCTCATAACCACACAACAGCAATTACGATTTGTTTACTACGGCTATTCACAATTATATCAATTATTTTCAATTGCAAACAAGTGCAGCTTTGACGCATACTTACTCCAGTTGCGACACTTCGACCGATGATATTATTACCTATCTGTAAATACGCTTTTTCCACCAAGTCGTTATCTACGCGAAGTATTTGCAACCTTTTCATTTTGTTCGTGCATACAATTTCACAGCCGCATAATTTGAACGATTTTCTGTATTATGGATCGGTCACGAAACGTACATAATTGTCTAGCGACGGGAAGCGTTACACGCGCGTAAAAACAAAATAAACAACGTGAACCGACGTTAATCATAGTCGGCTAATTGTAAAATGATATATAACGTATGTATGTACTGTATTTTTTTTATCGGCTGAAACGCGACTTTAAGGGGTGGAACCAGCCTTCGAAGTTTCGGGATAGATAAAGAAATTGTACACGGAAGCGGTAACAATTAAAATTTTTTCATTTACAATTACAAAGAATGTACAACTTTACAAACAAATGGAGTGAAATGCGAAGAGAATTCGAAATTCGATGCGATGTCGTAAAGCTCTGTGTGAAAGTGTCCCATAAAAAAGTCGCCAAGTAGAAATGATCGGTTAATTTCTGCTTGTATTTTGTTAGATGTAATCAGCCAGACTAATCTTCCAATGTAAAACATAATTATCAAAATATCTTCTCGAATCGTTGTGTTTATCCTCGGTATCAGACGGACCGCGACCATAAACGACCGTCGAGCGTGTATACCTACATTATTATTGTTAAAAATCATCACTCGTAAAGAAATCTTGTTCGCTTTACAGAACGAGAAAGGAAACACTTGTCCAGCATGATCTACGCACTATATGGTGAACTGGAATTAAGTAATTATCAACAATGCCATTCGATTCGGTGAAATTCGATCGGTGCCAGTTATGAAATAAGATTGCACCATTTATTATGGTTTCGATCTGCTTACAATATAGGAACATTATAAATCTCGAATTTGAATCAGTCAAACATGGTTTAATGCATTTTAACAGGCCCGTTTTTCATTTGAGTTTCTTTGAAAATTCATCTTCGATTTTTCCGTTGTATGAATTGAAGATTAACCATTCGTCTTAGCACACAATAATGATTCACGACATTGTCATAAATCTCACTTTCATCGCTTACAGTTAGGTAATTAATATAGTGTCAACGTACACACGTATCACAGCATACCTCCGGGAACTTGTCATATAAAAGAGTTCAAACATAATTTTCGTAATATATATATATATATAGAAACGGAATCGTATCAACGTGTACAGAATATTCAAGAATATACGCTATAATTTCGTTAGTCACATCGTAAGGTATTATTATACATATATGAAAATAGCTTTCTATGTATCTTTGAACTTTTTTTTTTTTTTTTTTCGTGAAAAGAACCTGCAAAAGAATATATTACTGCTGTGATTAGTGGTTCCCCACGATGAAAATATAAACCGAGTCTGTTATGTAGATTTAACAGCATTAAAATATTCTTGAACATTCTTTGCAATTCAAGCTGTGACAGGTATTATTGTCTAGAAAAAAGTGGTCAACCCATTCTTAATTATGCAAGACAAAGAATAAAATGATCATTGTGTCCGTCGTAACGTATCATCTTCTTATCGAACGGTTTTGAAAAACGCCCACAAAAAAGGGAATGAAAAGTTTGTCGTAGCTTCCAAATCGTTTTGAAAAAATTACAACAATGCAAAATTGTTCTTACATTTTGCATAATGTGTATATATATATATATGAGAAAATATTAATGAATGTATAGGATCGCCGTGTGAAATATACCGTTTGAAATACTGTTCTATATTAGAATATTCAATAACCATTTGCTTGTGCACTCATACTTGATACTGTATGTAGACTTCTGTATCTGAGAACTATATGTATAACAATATATATGTATATATATATCGCGACGCAGTCTTCACTTTTAAAAATTTATACATAAATAATTGAAAAGTTCAATGTATCTGTTTTATTTGTTGCAAAGGGTATTTATCATTTTTAGGTGACAATACTTCGAAAAAGTGTTCGACTATTAATCATATTTTTGGTGAATTGAATGAAAAAATACGATGTCTGTTATACACCAATACAGAGTTACTTCATAATCAATAGAATTATAAAGCAATGTATTTTTCATTGAAAAGTTTTTTTAGCTCTCAGATATAAAGTCGCTTTTCGTATAAAATTCTCAACTGGCCGTACATTCCTGATGTACTCATTATAGACTTCCAATAAAGCGAACAAGTTTCTTCGAAAACCATTCAGGCAACTATATTATAAAACAAATAAGAATTCCCTTCCTTCTTACAGTTAACTTACAAATTTATTAAGGCAATTTAGTTTAAAGATGAAGAAACTATGCTTCGGAATCGTATTAACAGAACATAAAGTTATATGAAAGGAACATTTGAACATACGTTTTCACGAAATATCTCGAATACTTATAATTAATAACGTAGAAAAATAATACTCATAAAACTTCAAGAGTGAAATATTTAACGTGGATTCTGCATTACAAATTACGTAATTCTCTTTTTCCGCGCGTACTACTACTCGACGTAAAACAGTCAGTCAGTAGTAACGAGTATGCAAATCGGAATACTGCTCGAATAATTTCGTATTCACACATTCCTCTGACTGATTACAATAATTGCATTTCTCGTTGACCTATATTGCAAAAGGCAAATCGTTTGAAATCAAGTCTTTAAGCAATCGTGATTAAACTTCAATAATAAAAAAAAAATTCTCGATCATATACACAAGCGTTTAGCATTAACATCATTCGATTCGAATGTTTCACTTAACCAGGACCTTATTGGAATGATATAGTGTATAGCATATAAGATCAAACGTATCTATGTATACATATGTACATGTATACACAATTTATCTATTACTTTCGCTGATGTTTCTTATGAAATAAGTTGTAGGGCTATAAAATTTAAATGCCTTCCACGTGTGAACGAAAATAGGGATGGAACACAAGAAAAAATGTATGCACCGGAATTGACTTACGAAATGAAAATGTGTCTTTAAGCGTTACGCTATTAGATGCCATTACGATAATTCTTTGATTATCCATCTTTAAACAGTACTGGAATAACTTTCACTTGGCCATACATAATATAAGTGATGATAATGGGTATATGGAGACTGCATTTTCGAGGAGTGCAGTACACGTAACAACGGGACGTATTCTTCTTTTTGCGATGAAGGTATGTTGATGTCTGGTTCTGGCTATACTATGGTACCACCACCCTCTGCTGGACTGACAACATGGAGAGCATTTCCAACTTGTCCTACACCAGGCTGTAATAGAGAAATTTACAAAAATTCACTATGAATGATTGTTTCACTTGAGCTTAAACATGTTCTGTAAGTCCTTGAAAGCAGTTTAAAAACAATTGTAATTTCTTAATGTGCATTGAAGAACAGTGCATTTATAGCATAGAAGTATGCGACTGAAAAAATGCCTTAGTAAGGCAGACACTACCAAATCGAGCAAATGTACATATATGTACTATACTACTCAATCCATTATGATGCAGTAAACAAGTCAAGGAAACAATAAATTATACGTACCATGCGATAACTCTGGGAAGTCTCATCCATGATTTTCTCGCATCAGCCAAAGCATGGTACAGAACATTAATCTTTCCAATCAAAGTAAAAAAATTAATGCCCCACCGACTTAAGAAACAAGCACAAGCATCTTCTGATAAAATTATAAGACTGTCACTATAAAAGAAGCAATGCACACTATATGATAATTATCACAAAAATTTTAACTTGTTAAATCGCTATAACAGATAAAGGAGCATTGGGATATATATATATATATCGATGATAGAAATGCATTATGCCAAAACACCAGGAAACTGTTTCGAATATCACAAATTCAAAAACCGTGAATTGCAAACGTAATCGTGTAATCATGCTAAGCATTGCAGCTAATAAAACTGTAATGAAAGACAACGAGTAAAAGTTATGTGCAGACAAATTTACTAGTTTGTACATGTTTATATGCATATGTATGTTATAAATGATTTAAAGTTTCCTCTGGTGTCTCTGCATTGCATTCTGTATAAATTCAAGCAGGAAGCAAGCAGCAATTTTTCATTCAATTGTTTCGCTTTATTGTACAACAAGGCAATTTATTGTTTTCAACAAAGGATTAAATGTCACATTATTGTAATCTGGGACAATAGTTTGACTAAATAATTCATTGACTTTCTATCATTCGCTAAGCTAAGCTAGTAACACTTTACAGGAAAGAAAGAAGGGTTTTAGAGGGGCCTGCCCTGTTACAAAATCTTATGGGACGCAAACAATGTTACTCTCAATGATGCAAACCAAACATAAATATATACTATTCATAATTATACTAATGTACTTTGTTAATATTCATATCGAATATATTTTGACCAGATGATCTTTAGGCACAGATATAAATGGAGGCTCATACTATGAACGAATGTATGTTTTCATTCTTTGTTATTTAAATTATTTGTTAACTGTATTTATACATGGTAGTTCATTAGAGTGGAAATTTTACAAAATTTTACGAAAAGAAATTTCGTCCTTTTGTAATTTTCATCGAATAGCCAAAGTAACATTTGCATTTCATAACACAATTCAACGATAAAACTTCAAAAATTTTGTTTCAACATAACATCCAACTCAATATTACAACGTTGTCCATTCATAATACCATCCATCCGTACATTTCTGTAACTGACATGTAATACAAACTAAAAGATAATTCTAGAAGGATTTCAATGCTTTCCAATGGCACCATTTATAATATACACTGCTTTGGATAAAATGTAAACTAGGATTTAATTCGTAAATATGAGAAATACACATTTATTCTCAAATAAGAAACTTTCATAACACACACAATGTAGCGAGGACAGCATTTCGTATAATACCAAAGTTGGAAAATAACAAAACTACCCCGTTCGTGTCCATCACATTTAACACATTCGTGACCGATGACCTAACAGAGTCATGCAATAACTTGCCCGTTTAGCCGATAACACAATATGTGGATCACGCACACATGGTACGGTACGTAAACATTGTCGGTTTCTGGGGATAGTCCTGTAATAATACGTCGGTCCCGAATGTGTTAATACACTTGGGTGTTTAAAAGAACATTTACTATCTAATACAATTCAACAATGGTAATAAGAAAATTGTCCAAAGCATTATCATATATGTTTCTATGTTTTCTCATCGAAAAGTGTTAAATGATCTCAAGTTCTATTTTTATTTTATATACAAATTGGAATTTGTCACTAAAAAGAACCCTACTTCATAAAGTTGAAATAACAGTTGAAGGTGGGTTACATCATAGATCGTTAGATCGCAAGGAATTAATATTGGTGTAAGGATTGCTATGATGATGCGGCCTGTGCAGAGTGCTGCTGATGGTGAGAGGACCTACCATGTGACCAGGCCTTGCCCATGTGTAGACATATCCATCTTGACACGCTGTTACGAAGCAATCTTCCCTAAACACTAATTCAGTCAATCTTTCGTGTGCCAACTTCTTGCACACCAACGGTTCTAAAACTGGGCACTCATCGAACCTAGGGCACCGGGCAGTTCCTATCAACCTCATCGGGTCGTCCATCACAGAACAAACCTTTTTGTTTGCACCTACTAAACTTCCACTGACACTGTTCATATTACTACTTGCATTTGAATTAGTAGTAGCTTTGTCGCCACCACTGTTCTGCATTATTGTGCTATTAGATGCACCACTACCTCTCATAGTGAGGCTAAAGTTTCTCTTATGATTATCACCTTTACGCTCACCGAAACCAAGACCTGCTAACCTTTGTGTCAATGAATTTACAGTTGACACTGCGGTATTTGTACTTGTGCTATTGTTACTACTTTCGTTATTACCACTCGCGTTTTCTCTGTAATTAACATTATTCAGATTATTGTGTTTAGAATTGTTCAAATGATGATTCGCCGTAGAGCCGTTCCCGCTGTTAACTGTTCCCGATGTAGAAAGGGTACCAGAACCTGCTACAGAGGGCCTCTGCTTCGCGCACATCGGTTGTCTCAACACGTCTTCGGTAATATCCCACAAACACAGTTGAGTATCTTGCGACACGCTACCTAGCCTGTAGCATGTACCACCCGACACTCTCAACTCTGACCCGCAAGAGTTTCTATTCGAGTGAACTCCTTGCGAGGTTGTGGACAGACGATTAGACTTTTCGCAGAAGTGATTATGGTTATTGTGTGGCAATGTTTCGTCATCCGAGCCACTGAAGTCAGGATCATGGTCTCCATAAGATGTAGTGTAAGGATCGAACGCTACTACGCTTACCCAACTATGATGACCCTGACCTCGAGCTACTACTCTTTTTTCATGAAAGCTCCAAATTGTCACAAGATCGTCTTCACCGCCAACAACAACGTATCTTCCATCTGGTGACCAACATACGCACAGAAATCCGCCAAAGTAACTTCTAGCTGAACCCACTAACTCCATTGTGTTATATTGAAATACTCGTAGGAACCCATCTTGAGAAACTACAGCTAAATTGGAGCCGCACGGACTAAAGGAAAATTCATTTATACAACATCCTTCTGCGCCTATTACCCATCGGTACAAAGGGTTCCTAGTGGATTTTGTCTTGCAAGTGTATATAGCATAACCATCTCCTGATTTGAAGGATTGGTAATGAGGAGCTGTTGTACCACACAAGAGTTCTTCGTTGTATAAATATAATTGCCCAGAACTATGCGATACTAAGAACAGGTTGTTAGAGCCAGGAACCCATTTTATACATGTCACTTTGCTTTTGTCTATCAGCCTCTGAAACATTACATCGTATGTAAAATACAACCAATATTATCCAAACAAAGAGAACAACATACATATTTTCAAAGAACAATATTGGTATGTTAAAGAATCAACAAAATAATTTATATTAGAATTATTCACACAAAATTATAAAATACCTTGCATCAAGTTCAATTATTTCAATGACTTATTACTATACCAAAATGGAATGTAACAAAATAAATACTAATATGAAATTTCAAATATGTAGTATAGCAGAGAGATTTAATAATTGTATGAACAACTAAACTATTACTAATTCCTTATTTATCATGTAGAAATTGTTGAAACAAGATAACACACTCATATCAACAGAGATTGGATAAATGCTGACTGTTTCTGTACACATTAATGTCTCTATGTAGTAGTAGTAACACATACAAAGTATTCTACAAGCACTTAGCTTGCCTTTAATACAGATATTCCCACATTCAGGGATTGTACCAACATTATTTTACAATCTCTGTGTGCATTCAAAAAGCTGCCCAGACATATACTTCCAAATGTTACTTTAAACAAGATATTCTACTCACATCTTCATTATATAATTTGCTTAGTTCTTTTTTTATTGGATCTATCAACTGAATTTGCCCTGTTGAGAAACCAACTAATAATGGGGCACTATCTGCTGTTGCCGTTGTTTGATTAAAATTGTGGCAAGTGGGATTGGTTCCTTTATATAATTTTTTGTCTAATGGCTTATTTAAATCCACAGCCTGAAACATTGGAAATCAACATGAGTTTTCTGTAAAGCTATTCTACAAAGCTTAGAAACTAAAGAAACAAAAAAAAAATATAATTATGTATATAACATTCTTTTGTTACTGTTCTGTAGATTGTCTCAAAAGATATAACTATTCAATAATTATTAAATACAGAACCTTGAGGGTTCTGTATTTAATAATTATTTAAAGGTCTGGTAATTATTTACATAAGGTCGACAACTAACAATGGTACACAAGTTTTGTTTTAGTATGTTTACATACTGCTTGTTGTTAATTGAAATATGAAAAACATAACTCCATTAAAGACTCGAACAATTCAAATTTCAACCACTTATGAGACAAATTATTTCATATATTAAAATCGGTAAAAAAAATGTCACAGGTATATTCTGAAAATATCAGAAACATTAATGTACTTGGCATTAAAGAAACATGTTGAAAAATACGCCTGAGGTATGAAATTTTATGTTCATTAACATATAAAGTAAAAGGATTGTATGTTAGGTGTGGTGTTGGTCTACAAAGATGGAGTCCCGATACGCGATTTCGAGGTTAGGTTTAAATGAATCCATGCTCGATTAAACACAAATAGACTAGCATATCTTGTAAAGCTGCAAAGAAACTCATCTTACCTTTTTAACACCTCGATACACATAAACATAGAGCTCCTTGCCAAAGTTGAAGCACATTCGGTCGCCGAGACCTTGCGCACCTGTGGGGTCTGCTGGCTCCGGTAATGTAACGAAAGACACTCTAACAGATGCGCTTCCTTGACTGTTCGTGTAGCCGACCCTGTTTGGCCTCGAATACTCCGACAAAGTCATTAGCTTGTATGTTCCTTCCCGCGTGACAAACTGTGTTTTCAAGTCCTCCTTCCCTCCTCCATCCAGCTGCACAGCCATCTTACCACCAGCGGTGCGACGGAGGAGCTCATCAGACACGAAAAAAAACCTCGTTTGCTTCTGCACTCCTGCACGTCTATCGACAAGCCTTTTCCCATAAACTTTAACAAGCTGTCAAACACTGAATCAGCACTTTCTAGTTTTCCAGAAACGTCCAAATAATAGCCGCTTACCGGTCCTATACGAGGCCACTGCTAAGGGCGCCTCGACTTCTATATCGAAACTGCCCGTGCATTTACGACCCGCAGCTCACGCTTTCAACCTCGTATAGAATAACCACGTACCCACCGTGCTTCTGATATTTCGTTCCGTTTCCTCATCCTATCTAAGCTCTACACTACATTGCGTAAACAAGAAATATTATATTTTCAGGAAGAACTTTACGGAGTCTTAAAATTCTTCGTTTCTTTATTCTAGAACGTCTTATAATTAGTGAAGTCGAACGGTAGATAAAAAGTGTACACGTTGAAATACATACAAGCATGTCATTCGCTAATAGTACAGAATTCTTTGTTATTAAAGCAGAATTATAGACACACGAATTTACAAGATTCTGGATCGTTTGTCGATCGAACTTTTTTCAAAATTATTGTTTCGTAGCAATACAATCATAGAAGCAGTAATTTACCAGTCAGTACTTTGATTTAATATATACAATTACTTGTATATCAGATTGTCAAGTTTGAAATCTATGTCGACCATACTGTAATTACTAATTCTGTGTAATTTTAGAACCTTTTGGATAGCGTGCTAAATACTAAGTAGATCCGAGAATATACGGCACTGTCGACGGCGTGTTATTAATGCGCGCGCACCGTCGCCTGTTCGCCTGAACTCGTTGGCTACGAGGGCCTGTCAGGAACCGGATATTTTGTAAACAACCGAGCAAAGGGTTAATTAATTTTGCCTACTTTTCTCTACTTCCTGCGTTTCCCTTCCGTTCGAGTTATCAGGAACACTTGTTAGCGCAGCTGTCGCTGACTACTTTAAGCTGCAGACCGACTGCCTATCAACTAACCGGTAATTAAGAATTTGTTTTATTTATAATATCATAAGCTAATACAATTCTAATAACGTATGTTGAAAATTATTTTGAATACCTTTACAATTACTTGTTACTATATTGTGTAATTTGCAATATCATGGAATTCTGATCTATCGAATCGAAAATGAGAAAAACGATAGTTTAAGATTTGCATCCATTCCGTTAATTTATTCATCAAGATCGATATACTCGATGCAGTTTTTTAAACGGTAATTAACGTTCGGTGACGTAACTGTAAGTGGAAGTTCAAACGATCATGTCACGTTTTATACGTGTTTGTAAATATCATTAAGTTTTGTCCCGCCAAAACAAGGAATCAGTGAAATGAAATGAACATACTTGCAACTGTTAGATGCGCAACCGCATTTTTTTAGTTCAAGTGATTCAACGTGAAGAGAACAATTTATTAAATATTTATTAAATATTAAGGTGTTGTAATCGTCAAACCTTTCTATATAAGCAATTTATTTCTAAATTGAAGATATACAAACAAGTTGCATGCCTTTAGAAAATATTAAAAAAATACTCGAAACATGAAATAAACTATACTTTCTTTTAAATTAGGATTTTCTTATTAAAATATTTTATGTCCATCCGTACATTCGTAGGAGACAAAAAATTTGAATAATTTCTCATAGTTGTGCATTTCAAATACACCGCCCATAGATGTCCTCATTCAGTATGAACATAGCAAGTTTGGCAAAGTGGTGATATATCGTCTATATATAATAAGTAGTGTAACGGCGGTATTTGTCAAAATCTAAGTGTACACATTCTTTAACATATTTATTTAAATATAAACGATATACGAACAAAACATGAGTGATGGTAATGCCTGCGTTTTTGTGTTCTCAAACGTGTATAAATACAGTATTGGCCGTGTGACAATAAAAACACGTGGTCGCGCGTTTTTTATGTGTTAATATGAATTGTTAATCGATGCAGAAAATTTATTGTAATGGCACGTGGGAGAAGACCGACTCGGGGTGGGAAGAGACCAACTCGGGGTGGTAAAAGAAAATTTGACCGGTATGACAATCAACCGAAACCCAAGAAAGGCAAGTTTAACCTAAAAGAAGCTTCATACGTTAGAGAACGTGAGGCTAAAAATAAGGAAATAGAGAAACGGAGGCAAATATTGGAAGAAGAAAAATTGCAACATCGAGAATTAGAGACAGATAGCTTTGACGAAGATGAGACGAATCCTATGCAAGACTTACTGTCTACATTTTCAGGCACGAATACGATTCAGTCAAATGCTATAGAGTCTAATTCAGAGAGTGATTATTCTGACATTGAAGGTGATATTGGAAAAAGTGGCAATGTTGATGAAAATTCGATAATATACAGTGACAATCAGGCAGAGTTGTCCAATGATAGCGAAGGTGAAGAGATTAAAGTAAAAGAATTGGACGAAGAAGATCCTGAAACTGCCCAAGAAGATGCTGGTTATCTAAGAGATCCATTTACAATTCATCTGAGAGATGATTTAGATGCCACACTTTACGATGCAGTTTCTAATGTTCCTCAAATTGTAGACACACAGAAAATAACATGGCCTATACTTGGGAATCTTATTTGTGAAATTCCAAAAACTTCAAGAAATACAGATGGTACAATGAAAAAAACCAAAATTTCGGTTTTGGAAGAAAAGCAATTTGCTAGGGGGGGTACTGTTCCTTCTTTGATCGAAACTGTGGATTGGAACAAGCTATATGTAAAAACACAAATACAAGGCAATATTACAAAAGCTAATTACTCTAATACTGGAGACTGTGTTAATACAAATCCATCGTTTTTGACTCCTTTGCAGAGAGAATTGTTTTCAGTAGTAAACAATTATCAAGATTTATATTATCCTGAAAGAACATTTTCTAATGCTGATCAAATAAGATTTATATATTGTCTACATGCAATTAATCATGCATTAAAGACCAGAACAAAGGTGCTGCATCATAATGCAAAAATATCAAAATCAAAATGTACAAATATGGCAGAAATCCCAGATGAGTATAGAGATCAAGGTTTAGTAAGACCAAAAATTTTAATAATAGTTCCCTTTAGGCATGCGTGCTTACAAATTGTCGAATTATTAATAGCTATTTTAATTGGGGAAGATAAAGGTGGTTCCGTAATGAACAAAATCAGGTTCATGGAAGATTTTAGTGGTAATGAATTGGTGATGCCCAAGAAAAATCCAAAACCAGAGGATTATGAGCAAACATTCCAAGGAAACACAGATGACACCTTCAAAATAGGAATCTCCATCACAAAGAAGACACTGAAACTATATTCAGAATTTTATTCGTCCGACATTATAATTTCATCCCTGTTAGGTTTGAGAATGCTAATTGGTGCAGAAGGCGAAGCAGAGAGGGATTATGATTTTCTGGCATCGATAGAATTATTAATTCTGGATCAAGCTGAAATGTTCCTAATGCAAAATTGGGACCATATGATGCACATTTTAAATCATCTACATTTGCAACCAAAAGATTCGCATGGAACGGATTTTTCTAGAGTCAGAAGTTGGAGTGTAAATGGGTGGAGTAAATACTACAGACAAACCTTAATATTTTCGAGCATTCACGTGCCCGAAATTTATGGGATATTCAATAAGAGATGTTACAATTACGCTGGAAAAGTGAAGGTAATAAATCCTGTTTCCGTTGGATCGATTTGCCAGGTGGTCGTACAAGTTCCCCAAGTATTTCACAGATTCGAAAGTTCGAGTCATTCGCAGGCTTTGGAACAAAGAATGGAATTCTTCGTATCGAAAATACTTCCCCAATACAAGGACCGAATTATGAACCACACATTGATTTTCGTACCATCGTATTTCGATTTTGTGAAGTTGCGAAATTATTTTAAAAAGGAAGAATATAGTTTTGCTCAGATCTGCGAATACTCGAAGGACGCAAAAGTGGCAAGAGCAAGAGACATGTTCTATCACAGCGATGCACATTTTCTTTTATATTCAGAACGATTTCATTACTATCGTAGAATAAGGGTGAAAGGTATAAGGCACGTTATATTTTACGCGCCGCCCACGGTTCCCGGATTTTACAGTGAACTCTGTAATTTAATGCACGAATCGAATCAGAATCCACGGGCGGGTTCTGAAAGTAACATGACCGTAACGGTTCTGTATTGTAAATACGATATCATGCAACTATCCGCGATCGTGGGCACAGAGAAAGCAAAGAAAATGTTTGGGTCGGAAAAGACTGTTCACATGCTCGTGACTGGTGAATGAAGGATCAACGAAAATGGGTATAAAATGTACATTACACATGTTCCAATTGTAAATTACGTGAAAAACGATGATGTGTATGATTAATAATAACAAAAAGTAGTTCCACAGAGAGAATTCGGTTCAGTTTCTTTATTGTATGGTTAGAAAATTCCTTGGAAATAACTACAGCTCCGATCGCATTTCCCTGAAACGATTTCATTTGTCTGTTATATCCACTTAAGCAGTATAAAAATTAAAATTCTCGCTCGTCCTCTAAAAAAAGATATAATCAGGATTCTGAATGAACGGTTATATCACCATCGACAGAAAAAAAGGTAAGCATACACGTGTACAAGGGTTGAAACTCTCGTATAGTATCCCTAGATCCGATCGAAGTCGTACAGAAATCATCTATAAAAAATGTCAAATAAATTCGAATGCTACTTAGCTTCTTTCTCGTCTTTTCGTTTACTAATACGATTCGTTAATAATCGACGATCAAGCGGTCCCGGGACTCGTGTTAGCGAATGTTTCTCTGCTGCTCTCCGTACGGGGATTTAATCGTACATCCGGAGCAGTTAACGGTAAAACGCTAGAAGTTATCGCTGTGGTTCTCGATATGACTGTCAAGAGATTCTTCCGTGGTGTCGCGATATCCAAGGTGGTCGAAGTATTCGGTTCCCCAGTTTGGACGCTCCGATTGGTCACAGTTTCCGCTTCCATCCGTTTTATTTGCGTTTCTGAAAGGAGAAACGAGAAAAAACCACTTGAAACGTTAGTCATCTGCGATTAACCCTATTCGACAGTAATTTTCAACATTGTTATTCGACACGAGGATTCCAAACATGGAATCCATGAAAAATGTGCGTGACACCCGGTTTGAAGGATGAAATCCTATTTTTAAATAGGATTCGATGATTTTACATCCACACATTCTAGTTTCGTTCTCATCCTGACAGGCACGTCTTTCGGATCCCACACGAACGTGTAGTACAAGGACAACAGTATAGCTCCCATACTGACGAATATCACATAGGCGACCACGGTCAGCACGCGTACCAATTTCTGCTTGTGCTTCGGCTCGTACAGCTTGTCTTTACGTTCATCCCCGGCGAATCGAATCTCATTGCCAGTCGCCTTGTGCTCGCGATTTCCCGTGTCGGGATTCGGTTTCTCCGAATTGATATTCGGACCGCTCATCTTTCGCGGCAACTGCATCCTCCGTGAAACGGTGTAGGTACGGACAGACACCACTTCTTTCGACCCCTCGATCAACGTGTGCTCACCGCGAGTGTGCTCGTGAAACGGTCATTGAAACGACGAATTACGAATACTTATGAAACATCGGACCAGCATTTGTTCGACGGTAGCTCTGAACAGGCGAAACGCGTGGAAAAGCATTATTCAACCTCCCCCCGAGGAAAAATCTTCCGAACCGATGTGTATTTATATCTGTACCGCGGGATCGTTTACATTTTTCGACGTGAAATCAGTAAACAGTGGCCGCCGAGTTTACTGCTGCGCGCGCGGCGTGCCAGGAGCGTGTACCTGGTCTGCGTCAAACACACCCTTGCACGTAGAATATTCTTGCGATAGATCGGAGGGCTTCGATCAGATTATCGTGACAGATTTTTTATTATTGTACCTTTAATCACGTTGAATCCGTGCTTTTAGACGGTTCGTTTCGTAGTCACCCAATTATGTTTATCGATAGGGCGTTCCCACCACAAAGCTTTCGCGAGTACGCAAGATGACGGTTACGACGATAGAGAAACAGTCACGAGTTATCAAGGCTTTCGAACGAGCTTTCGAGGACGCGACGCGCACAGGATTTCCTTACTCCCGTGTCGTTGTATTACGACTATTCGATGATTATTTCTGTTCCTTGGACTTGAACGCGGATCAACGTTTCCCACCGATGGCAGCCGTTGAAAAACACACCCATCCAATGACACCACCGACGAGGTGGTGCGCGATGCACTGCGCAAGCTCGAGAACCTTGACTCGTTGGCGCTTCGGTTTCGCAAGCTTCGCAAGGGGTTACTCCGACTTTACAGGATTCACACGTGATGGTAAATGCCGTTAAACCGATACTCTCCCCGGCTGGCCTTATTTCGTTTTCAAGGTTCAGCTTACCTTCACTTATCTACGCGTTGCCTGTCGAATGCTCACGCACCGTTCGTAAAAAGTTATTCTTGTTTCTATCTTTTCTTTTTTTACAAGTTAGATCGTGGTAGATCAGACGATTTATAGGAGAATCGAGTTACGTCGAGCGATTTACTTATCCTGTTTGAAGCATGCCTGCCCCGATGACTATCATCCCGATTTTGAGATTAAGGTGCTTCGCGAAAAAAGGTGACAGAACCGATTAAAAAACGGTTGCGCAAGCATTTTACGTAAACTCGAGCCCGCGTATGTTGCTTCGAAATCTTGTAATATCAAAATCGAGTGGTCATCGAGGACGACATGAACGCGCTTTATATAATTTTGTTCGAGATAGCATTCGTCCAGTCCGTTTAGACCAGTGTTTCCCAACCTTTTTTGGATCATGCCCCACCTCAACGCCTCGATGCCCCCATAACATATTAAACCAAGTTCTGAAAAAGTTTAACTATAAATAAAAAAAGGCACATAGGTAAAATTGTTACCAATCTGGTGGCGAATGTCAATGGTTTGCTAATTGTCCCCCAAAGTATTCAAATTGCCCCTCGGTGGAGCGTAACATCCCACGTTGAGAAACACTGGTCTAGACCAGAGGTTCCCAAAGTGGGCGTTACCGTCCACCAGTGGGCGCTGAGGAGATCCGAGGGCACGTTCTAGTTACTTTATTTCCTTTATTTTGAATTTCACATTTTAAGATTCGAAACTTACATACACTTGGAAATTTTTATAACAGAGATAGTTTACTCGAAAGGCAACTGAAACAAAACAAAAAACTTCGAAAAGGGGAGGGTGAGTCAATAAAGATTGGGAAACTATATAGGCCTGTCGAAACTTTAGACTTTTTCCACCTGGAGTAAAGCGATTTACGCGCTCGCTCGTTTTACAAAGGAGCCACGCCTTTTTCTTAATAGCATTAAGACGTCACTCTCTTCGATCACTTCTGCGAACAAACATAGGCCTTCGATCGGTAGACATTGTCCCGACGAGTGTTTTCCTATACCCACGGAAGAATCACGCAAGAATTCCTCCGAATCTTTTTTTCTTTCAACCGGAAACCGAGGATTCTCGTCTCCCGCGCGTCCGTTGGATTCACTTTATCGTTCAAGCACAGAAACGTTTAGAGGAATCGTGCCGCGAAGCCTGTAGATCCGTTTTTAGAAATTGTTAAATCTTTGTTACGATGCAACGTTAAAGAAGCCATAACGGATCGACCTGACCCTGTTTCAGATATTACGCGGACAATACGGATAATCATCGCATGCCAATCCATCGGCGATCTTATTTCTAAGGTTTTAATCACGACTTTTCATTGTGACTACGTCGAACATCCCAATTCCATTCTCTCCAATTCGTAAATCTTTAACCCCCACTGACGATTTCCAGGGTCTCCCTACTGTGACGAGTAAAAAATTTGGCAAAATTCAGGAATTTTTTTTTAGAAAAAACTATAAGGTATATCGATGTCAAACTTTTTTCTATGAATTCGTATACATTAATAGGATAAGCTTAATTTTTTTCATTTGAAAATATAGTACAGATTAAAAGTTATTGTAATTTTCCGGGACTGTCTAAAAGAAAGGTGCATCCATGGCTGTCATTATATCAAGTGTCTACGTAATCTAAAATTAAAAATTGAGAAAGATTCTTAATCGCTATAAACGTGGCTATCGTCCGTAATAGAATGAATAAAAGATATAGGAAAAATAACAAAATGGTGGAGTTTTGCAAAAGATGCGGATTTTTTTTAAAAAAGTCGCTCGTTTTTCAAAATTCGAATTTTACAAATATCAACTTCATTCTAGTACGAGGGAGAGAGAGCTATGCATGTACTGAACATGCCTATTGATAAAATAAATCGATTTTTTTACCCGTCACAGGAGACCCCTTAACGGTTTTGCGATCTAAATTGAATATAGTAGTCTTTATTTGACAATTTAAAAATGTTTATTACCTTTGAAATCCATCGCAACGTTGTTCGTAAACGCTCGAAACGGTGGATACGATTCCAGACGATCGGCGAATTTCAAGCCACGCGTGGAATTTACGGAGGGCGGCGGATTGCTTACAAGAGCTCCGTCTGTGTACACGTTTCCTCTGTGTTTCCGTGTACCAACATCCCGTTCGTCCGCTCTTGTCATAACAGTCGTCGATTTATCAATTAACGCAGCCGTTCCAGCGGCGGTCGCCGATTCATCGGTGACTAAATTTAATCGGTAATCGTTCGACTGCCCGTGAGTGACTTCGACGCGTGTAGAATGTTCGATGGAATCCTCCACGGTTCCCGTTCCGTTGTTCCCGATCTTTTTCCGATAGATCGCCCTTAACTTCGCCTGGAACATCGCTGGAATGTATTTATTTCGTTCGGTAGCATTCAACCGATCGAGAACGTTCCGAAACGGCTCGGTGCTGTTCTCGTCGCTCGTAAAACGATTCTTATTCCAATCTCCGCCAGAAATAGTAGACGATTTCAATGTCAGAGGCCTGACATCATCACTATCCACCCTTTCTTCGTCTTTTCTTCTCGAGAAAAGTTCCTTTCCTCTACTATCAACACTTAGATCGTTAGTTCTCCAGCCGATTTTGATCGTACCAGCAGTCCGATCGAGCCTCGAATCGTTCATTCTGCTTCGCAGAATCTCTACCAAAGAGTTTCTCAACAGGGCCAAGGATTCGTCCAGCTTGCCGCGACTTTTCGTCGTTTGGTCCTTGTAGAAATCATCGTCCGGTAAGATACGACCGGTAAGCTTCTTGGGCAGACTGTTCGTATCGGTTTCTTCGAGCCTATTTTCCGTATGATTGTTCTTTATCGAATGTTCGGAACGATTCGTCAGGACAGGGGGATCTGCCAATAGGAATTGCACGTCAGGTTCGCCAGACAGGTGAACAGGTCTCCGTAACAGTCGTGGATTAGGTGGCTCCCAGAGGAACAAATAGTACGCGCTCAAAACTATAGCCACGAAACTCACGGAGAACATGTAAGCCACCACGGTAACAAAACGTATGAGCTTCTTGTGGCCCTGACTTTCATAGAGATCCGCGTTAGGATCCTTTTTCCCTGCCTCGCCGGCACCACCCCCCTGAGGACCTTCCTCGCTGCTCTCTTCCTTGCTCATCCCGATTAGAAATTCTTCTTTACTCGATCTTCCGATATAATATATTGAATTAACGATAGGACCGTTTCAGACAACACGTACTACGTCCTAATCGGTCTCATCTTTGCTTCCGGTCTTCGTTAACGCTCCCATCTCCCGTTCCCATCCTCCACTAGCATTGGAATCATTACATTTCACGGCGATTTTAGCAGAAATTTCACCGAAAATTTTATACGCAACTTCTTAGCTTTTCGAATTTTTGATGGATTTTCGCGAAATCGACCGAAAGACAGTTTGACGACCGTGCGCGAGGATGCGTCCCGGCAGCGGAAACACGCACGACTGCAAGTTCCCGACAAACGTTCGTAGAAAAGCGCCCGTTCCGTTCACCACGTGTTAGATTCGCGCGCAAGCGTCCTTAACATTCGATGTATTCGCGTAGGGTAAACCAACCAGTAATTGACTGCATACCAGTGAATGGCCATTAGGCAAGAAATGTAAATTATAAAATTAAAAATTATGAAATGTTTATAAACGGAGCGTTGTTGTACTTTTAATATCCCATATTTTTAGTTTAGTGTTAAATTAAGAGATAAACAGTTAAATTTGCAATTTCTCTGAAATAAAAGTACCATCTCTGTAATAATGGAGTTACCTTTCTCTGAAATAATGGTACTAAAGTTACCCACAGAAAATAATTTTTTTTTAAATTTCGATAATAGTAAGTAATTATTTTTATAAAAGTTTCAAGAAAAATATATGTAATTGCAAGTTGTTTTGTTGTTATAAAGAAATACATTCAAATAGTAATCTCAAACGTCCAGAAATTCAACAGTTCGGTCATTCGCTGGTTGGTTTACCCTACGAATTCGTCGTTCGCCGGTCTGTCAGCGGTATCGTCGAGCTTTCCCTTCCAGCAGACCGACAGTATCTTGTTGTTCGATTGCTCGAACGATTCCTCGTCGGTTCCTTCCGTCTTCTCGTGGGACGAATCATCGTCCGTATCTGAATTAAGAAGCTTTCGATGGTTACAACTGTATGATTCCAGGGTCGTGTTAACGCCAATTGAATTTCTCTCCTGTCCATTCTCCACAGGACATTCCGCGTTGATGTCGTGGTCGAGCTGCTTCGTGACATTCTGTAACAATATTTTTTTTTGCAAAACTTTAGTGTCGTTGTAAGCAAACTTTTTGTTCGTGGTTCTTCTATCGAACCTCGAGTCCAGGCTCCGGATTCGACGACGACGATCGCGGTGAATTTGACGCACCGATACGAGTGTTTCCCGAATTCTCGTCGAATCGACAATTTGACGCGTACGATAAATTCGGGACGTATTGTTGGTTGTTCAGGACACGAAAAACTTGGGTTAATAGATCGTTCGAACCCTCGAAACATGGTATAGGGATTGATGTTTGAGCAACGGTTTGTTGGGCGATTAATGAGTTCAGAGCCGGCATCAATGTCGGGGCGTAAAGCAGCACTGCTAGTCTGTAATATAAGAATAGAAGGTATATAAGAATGGCAAGGGGTCGTTTCTACATTAATAATAATAGTAATTTATTTTAACGGGCGTAAATTCGTTCAATATACAATAAATTCTGAATGAGTGTTCGATGGTTCCTCGGTATTAAACATTAAACATTACATAAACTAATGGCCATATGTGGCTGAAATAAATATCATTGGCTTCAGAATTCCAAACTCTATCACTGGGCTAAACGTCAATAAAAAGCCAGCGTTACATCTGAGTCCGAGCAGCCTTCGAACACTCATGGAAGTTAAAATTAAACATAATCATAATTAAGATTAACACTACAAAGAAGAAGAAAGTAAAAAGAAAATAAGAATGTATATATACAGGGTGTTCCGTTTAAAACAGGCCACCTAAAAATAAGTTTCTGCGATTAATGCAAAAAGTTGTTATTATTGTTCATACCTCAGCAACTGAATGGTGAATCCATTGGGGTCCGACATCGGATTCGTGACCGTTGGTTGAACCATCGGTGTGGAAGCGGTATGAACGTTACTTCGCGGCGTTGGAATTCTTTTCTGTGCTCGAACACATTTCTGCCCGAGTCTCGTTAGATTCTTCGATTGATCGCTCACGAAACGTACACGCTCGGGATTCAACCTGTTGGGACGATTGTTCGGGTAGCTTCGATTATCTTGGATCGTTCGATCGACACGTGGAGCGTCTTCGTGAAGGGAAATCGGCGCGTTCTCCAAGAATTTCACTTGTTTGAACGAAAGTTTTTCGTCGAGATCGACACACGATCCTTGCCGATCACTTCCCGATTTCTGCTCGGAGTCGTCTTGACTGGATCGTGATTCCATCATTGGCTGAATTATCGACGGGTTTCCTGTCAAATTGGTCCGCGTGTGATCTTCGTATTTGATATCGAAATCGGTGCAGTACGATGCTTCCGGTTCGTGTTTCTTGTCGAATCGTTGGTATGCTTCCATCAACGTCTTTTCATGGACGATTTATAAAAGTAAAATTAATTAAATTAATTGCTGGTGCAGATTGATCCTTGAATGCTACATACAGGATGTCTTAGCTAATTTGATCACCTCGAATAATGACTTAACGGTACACTATATGAAAATTTTCAGGCGTGGAACTTAAATGGCATCAAGGGGCACATCTTATAAGGTACGTGCTTTTGCAGAGATTTCAGGGTCACTTTGATTTTTTTTTTTCATAAAGTGTACGGTTAAGTTATTATTCGAGGTGATCAAGTTAACTGAGACACCCTGTATATCCGCATACTCGGATAAACAACGTACATTGTTCGTTATTAATAACGGCATCTGTCTCTTGATAGTGGTCGAAGATTTTTTCGAATTGTCGAATACTTTCGCGACATCGTGATTCTTTCCGTTTTTGAAGATATTGTCGTTGTTTACCTAGAAATGCATATACTTTTATTCGTGGAATACCTATCATGAAGATATACGTTACTTTGGAAGAATTTTGTTCGCCTCTCGAGACGTTGGTTAATTTTATCGAGTCTTGCGGAAGGATCACAGCAACGTTGTGCGTCGAACAGACCGAGGTCGAATTGCTATTCAACGTCTTTGGGCGACACGACTGATTACCAGGATCTCTCATGGGATAAATATCATCGTACGAATTCTAATAAACGAGAATATGCCACCCGGGACAGTGGATTTAAGAAATACGCTTCATATATGCACAATGCTTCCTCGTCGATCCACATGCGAATTTATTCCCTTACCTGGAAAAAGTTTCTGGATTTCGTCCAATTCGTATCGTCCACGATTTTACCGGTCGAATCTCGGACTTTTTTCGCGACGTGTTGCTTCCTTCTTGATGAAAAGTTCATTCTCTCATGATTTCGCGGGTTTTCGCCTCGATTTCCCGGTAAATTCGTAGCCGTGTGCCCGTACTTCCTCGCGAGACAACATTCCTTCCGGTTCACGTCCGTCTGTGACACGAGAAAATTGAATTTTCCATCGTGGATACGTGAAAACGGAGAAGACTGTTGAATACAAACTCCTCTCGATTATTGTCTGGCTTGTTCTACACGATTATTGTCCAGGCGTCATCCCTACCACTGGGGAAGGGACGTGGAACCTGTCAAGTATATAATTTGTTTCCCCTCCATTTTTGTTGCTGGGGGTCGTACTTCGGGCAAAAAATGAATTTACGAAGGTCTGAAGCATTTCTCCCTATAAGGTTATTGTCCAGGCGTGGACCGGATTTCGGGACGATAATCGAGAGGAGTCTGTAGTATTAATGTTTAAAGTACCGTTTGATGGACGGGAAACGTGTTGCGAGACGCTATAGGAAGCAACATTTTCGTTCTGGTCAATTCTCTCTCCATCGCCGCGTATCTTTCTTCCATTTGTCTTATGTACTCCAATAAATATTGACTGGACGCGGTTCTGCATGCACTGAAAACGTAATTCCAGACGGTTTCGTGAGAAAATAATCGTGAAAATCGCGGAGAAATGTGGGAAAGGGTGCGAATGAAGCGGGTCGAATTACGGGATCTGTTGCGTGTACTCTAACGAGCAAACTCGGCTTCCGCTAGGGGAAAAAGTGGCGTTGGTGAAGGGCATCTTAAAATATAATATCGGAAATTATTGAAATTTATGCCAAATTAACATTCGATTTAATATTAATTTCAGTACTTGGTAGGAGGTTTTTTCTCTTACGCCCTTTTTTTCCCCTAGTGGAAGCCAACTTTGCTCGTGAGGTTACACTAACGTTTGATGCGCTCTGAGATACAGATCGTGCGGTTGAGTACGGGCAATGTCCTCGAAGACGATGAAATTTAAACCCAGCGTCAATCCATCGTTAGTGAAGCAAGGAATTCTCGTCAATTCGTTGCACGGTGTTCCGTACGTTCGATTCGCAAGAAGTCGTCGATGGTACTCGTTGCGTCTCCTTTGTTCGCTATGATCGTCCACTGGTTCCGAAAAGATCTGTCGCCCGAACATACTTGTGAATTTGATCGTGAACAGCCACGGAGAATTTTGATATGTTACGATAGCGATACGAAAAAATTTGTGCAGCCCAGGCTATGCGTTATCCATCGTTTGTTTTCTCCATTTTGCTTTTCAGGCGAGTAACGCGTGAAATTCTATTCGCGAAACCTGAAAATCGATTTCCCAAGTCGATTCCTCCGAACACCTCTGTTCGAATCGCATCGTTATGCAAACCAAACTGCAAGTGAACTTATCCGTCATCTATAATGATTAATTCGACTTTACGTTTCAAAAATCCTATCGCCTATATTTGTTCAGCTTCCTTTGATTAAATCCAGTACGCCTACAGATATTTGTTATTCTTATTGGAAGTCATTAGCGACTGTCCATCGCACCTTAATTTAGACAACTTTTCTTCTCAACATCCTGTTTCTTGATTCTTCCGAGGGCTGGCTACTTGTTACTGTTCGTACATTCCAACGTGTGGTAAATATTTATTAAGCGTACACACGTATCTTGTCCGTGCAGTCCAAGAATAGATATATGTATTTTTAGAGCGGAGTGATTTTGATGGTAAATCATAACAAGAATCGTGTACCACCAAGTTGAAGGTGTTCGTCGACCTATTTAGTGCAAGTCGAACGACTTTAGTTTCGTACACGATCGTCTTTGTCGTCTGCTGGTGGACATTTTGTTCTTACGTCAGATGCTCTGTGATCGGTCATCATGTAAATTGACATCTTAAGAGTCCAGTTATTTGTACTATGCGTCATACAATGGATTAGAGAATTTAGATCTTGGCTGTTCCGTGAACTGGTTGTTGCTTGCGAAGAAAAATTTCATAACGTTGCCTTGACTCCGGTTATGTACTGGTACATTTTTTCTTATTTTTCGATTCGTTCGTCGTGGAATGGTCAGCCTTGCTCGAAACTTAAATACGTCGCGTAGTGTGAGTACGATTGAAAGAATGTCAAAGAACCTGTGTCATAGTATAATCGTATCCTTTTGCCGTCAGTGTGATGAGTCGTAAACATAACCTCCTCACGTTGTTTTTTGTGTTCGATTCTCAGACAATTTTGAACGTTGCGTTGTATAATCGTGTCTCAATCGTATTGAGAAGTCGTATTAAACGAACTGATTGTTTGTGTAATTGGTGCTTTTGCTAGGGAGCCGTGTTTTTTGATGCGTCCCACAATATGGAGGACGAGGAGTATTTACAACCTGTGTTGACTTCGCAAGAGGAAGAATATTTTCAAAAATTGGATACAATTCCATTTGTATCCGTTCCTCTTATACTTGGCGTAAGCATCGATTTTGTTGAAACAAGTATACAAGTTGTCATAGCATTAAAAGGTTTTCCTCCCTTGTTGTTTCAGGTGTCTTTAGAAATTATAGGAATTGTATTTGTGTCTGTGTGGCCAGATGAGCAAAATAAATGCGACACTTATTTTATATATTTATATCTTCATTGTCTGTATTGGTTGATAATTATGGTGGTCGATCATTTTGTCAAAGCGAAGCATCATGTATTACGTATCTATGGATACCTTGAATTTTATCAATCAACATATCAGCAAATAAGGGCACCCCATTTCATAGCATCCTTGTGGATTACATGCTATTTATTATTAGCTGTTATTTTACATCATACGCATAAAATCAATTACGAACAATATTGTAGAGCATCGGAATGGTTCACCCCACTGAATTACATTGTATTTCTAACTTCATTAGAACTGATGATCATTGTGCCAGTTTATGTAAATTATATTAGTAAGTATACAGAACGTATGGTAACACTTAGAAAATTATGGGATATTGTAGATAAGGAAATTTTTTTCAATTTGTAGAAAGAGTTATGAGATTCAATCAATTGCGTCCACCACCTGATGTTACACGAGAAGAATGGTTGTCCTCTTTCACTCAGAACACATATGCAGGTAGTGGAGAAGTAGGTTACCATCGTGGGGGAACAAACTTGGAGGAGCTGCTAGAGAAGCAGGCAGATTTGATAAGATATTTGAGAGATCATAATGTTAAATTAAGTATTAGAATGATGATGTTAGCAACTCAGCGAACATTACCAGAAGCATAAATCGTTTATACAAATTATAATCGTTTAAGTGAATTACACGCGTAAAAGTAAGAGGAACAAAAGACAAGTGAGAAGAAACAGTAACCAAATTGTTGCAGATTTTTCTAACTATGCTCCTAACTCGTATAAAGCTTTACACAGAGTACGAAAATCTGAATATATAAATTTTAAATGGGAAAAAGGAAGAGTGTGCTCGTAATTTATAGAATCTTCCATATTTGTGTCTTATGCTTATTACGTTTATCGTACAAATATGTTGGTTTTACCTCCATAGTTACCGTACTTTCTTTAGTATCCTTCTTTGTATTTAATGATTTTACCTGTCTTGAATGGTTGATATTGAACATTTTCCTGAACGGAATTAGCGCGTAAAAGTTTTTCTAACGATATAAGTAAACGATTAGGAATAACTTTCGCCATTATGCTAGTATGATCAGTGAAATATTATGATTCAAGATAGGCTGTCACCAATTTATAGGTGGTACTGCCATGAGCAAAGAGAAGTCATGTTATTGGGAATGTGAAATAATTTCTGTGATGAAAATGTATATACATATGTAATGACAACTCGTATAAAATATATATATATTTTTTGGCACGTATAATGCTTATCATTTGTGTGCATAGCATATTTGAACATAACATTATACTCTTTTAAGAATACATTTACCATGTGTCGTTTGACGGCATCGATTCGAAAATTATAGAATTGTTTTCCATTAAACCGTGAAAACGTACAGTGTAGGATATCTGATCAACAATGGAATGGATCAACACGTACATGTTTCTGTTGTACAGTTTAATAGTAACATTATAACACAAGTCTGTACTTATACATTTTTATACATTTGTATATGTGTATATTCCTATAAATGCCTAATAATACCTATTTTACGTACATTATAAACCCAAAGGAATATGCTCGTAGAGGCCAGAAGGATCGTACTTTTCACTTATTGGTCCTACTTTCCGCGAAACACGACGAAATCCAACTATTTTCATTGATGATTTCTGTCGGTCTGCAATAAAAAGTTGCACGACTTTTCCCGATAAAACGTTTACGTAACGTATGATGAAAAAGAAATTCGTTTACAAAAAGCTCTACGTATATTCCCATAAGGCTTAGAATAATTTGCTATCGTACGTACGCTTAGGGTATATATAAAACTAACTTATACGTATGGAACACTCAAATATACAACGCTATAAAACGTACAAGCTTGTACCTCGTCGAGATTTTCCTAGACATTCACGATCGCGCAACGCTTTATCTGAAAAGCGTGAACGACGATATTCTACAGAAGAGTGTGGTGCCGACGATGATGACGACGACAAGTCCTCTTATTCATTTCTGAAAAGTTTGTACTACGCTTAGGCCAGCATATATACTATACATATATATACACATACATGAAACACGTTAGTTCTTTTGTCCCGGGGATTTCACGAACGTACGCCAAGTGTTCCTCATTATTGTCGTACAACTAGAAGTATTTCAGACTTCCTGCTAAAACCAAAAGAGGATCAGTTCCCCTGAAAAACTGATCGCAGCGAAAGAAACGAATTTGCTAAAGCTTGTGTGCACGCAAACATTTCTTTGGCGCCAAACTAAAAAAAAAATAAAAGAACGTTCAATAAAATTCAAACAGTGAACGGGGTCCATTGACACACCCAGTTTCGATCAGCAACGCTTTTCACTGCGTTAACCAAGAAGGTGGTGCGATTCGAATAAATTCAGGCTTTACGTTGAGAAAATCAGAGCGCTCGGCGGGTGACAGAGTCGGCTATGGCGGGCCCAGGCGTCACGAAAAATACGATGGGTGTGGGGTTATGTCGACGTATCGTCTTCTCGCGTGCGCCTCGAGCGACGTATTACGGTAGGGGGAGGGGGGAGGAGGGCATTTACGTCGAACAAGTTGTATTTCTGTGCTCTGTGCACGATTCCTTTCCAAAAAGCTGTTCAATTCACCGGTTAGATTCGAAAGAAATTGGTTGCGTATCGCGAGAAGCAGCGGTGATACTGGTCCAAACTCTACCCACGACGGTTCAGCCTTTGATCAGGGATGGAATCACGCGTGCGTAGCTCCCAGAACGTCGTTCACGCTCGGCGAGGGCTACTCCTCGGCCTCCATCATCTTTAGCATCCTCACGACTTGCGCGTGCTCCTCGAGCAACCTCGCGAACTCATCTCTCCTGGTTTCGGCCTCCACTTGCATCTGCTTGATCCTCTCCCTCGGGCCAGCCGGGCTGTCCATCGGTGTCTCGGACGAGGAATTCTGGGCGCTGTTGTCGTTCGACAAACCGTCTATATCCGAATTTTCGCTCGATATCGAGTGGGAGTCGACGTCGTCCACGATTAGACTATAAACGGAAAATGAAAAACCATTGAAATTCAATGTGAATTTGTCCGTTTTGAACACGAACGATCCATTGGCTACAGATATAATAAGACTGCTATTGTTGGTCGAGGGGTCATGAGTCTGTGCCTCGAGAACGAGCGCCATTTGCTCTATCTTACCATAAGAGTACGAAACCACTATCGCACATACATGTAGGATACACATGAATGATGTGACAGCACAGACGAGAATCTTTCTGTAGCGATAGAAACGTAACTTCACTGTGGGGTTCTCAGGCACCTAAAATCCATGACCCCTCGATAATAATGGCATTCGTAGTCTTATTATATCTGTAGTCACTGTTCGATCGGATCGTATCGAACACACGTAGTAGACACGTAAAAACGCATTCTGGATGTAACCGTTTAACGGGGACGTGATTTTTTGTAGCCGGTCCAAGCTATCGACGTTCTGCCCCTATAGCATTGTAGTGGCAACAATTGTCGCTTGCGTCAATGTTACGTCACTGGTACTGTACCGTACACGTAAGTCACAGGCTATACCGGATAACGGATCGACCGTGTGCATACGTACGTAAAATTAAAAATACATACATAGAATCTTTACTTTCTTTTCGATCTCTGTACACGTTTTTGTCCATCGAAAGGTAATAAACAGTGTATTTCCGTTCGTTGCCAACGGAGTTATTAGAAAAGTGAGGATACGCCGCACACAGATTCCGAAACTTCTTGATTTGCGTCATGGTTCTATAACCATAATCGTTCGTTCGGACTACTTCCTGCGATATCCCACACGGTGGCCTCGATAGAGTCACGAGAATATTTTCTGCCTCGAAAGATTCGAACAGCCGCGACGGGTAGGTAAGATGGAAGAAGCCAGAAAGTGGCATTTAATCGGACCGATGGGTTCGATTTCCGTTCGAATTATGTATTACCGAGAGACCTTCGGGGGTGGGGGGTCGGAATATGCATTCATTATTTGCTAGCCCCAGACCGAATTGACAGGCGTATCAAAGATGATCGTATAATCTGAGAATATCGACCGCGAAAGAGGCCGCCCACGCGAATTTTTCCACGGCGGCAGATTACGGAAAGGTCGTATTGGAGATTTACACCCACGGAAATTCTGGAAATAACAGGCTTCTGTGCACGACGGTATTCGCGGACAAACGCGCGCGCGCGTGTTAGGATACGCGGTAGGCTATTTGCCTATCCAGGTTAACACATTAGGGAACCATTAACCGCGCGCGCATTCCTCGGTTTTCACGCGATGCGTTCCACCTGTCCTTTCGTTCTCGCGTGATCCCGAGATAAAATCCAATTGATTTCTTACCTGAACGCACCGTAGATTTCCCTCCCCGACGTCATCGTGAACTGCAGTATATCAACGTTGCCTACCCTGCAATAAGAAAAAGATTGTTACGTATATTCAGGCCCGGTTAAGATTTCCCAAAAATTGAAGAAAAAGATTTTCGGGGACCTCCTTAGTCGAAAAGCAGGGGGGATTTTTTTGTAATACAGTACATCAAAATACATAAATTTTAAAAAATTGAATTTTGTTTTAAATAAAATTAAATAACCTTTAATCATAACAAAATGGAAGGCTCAGAACGGGGCCCTCCTGGGACGTGGGGCCCGGGGCTATAGCGTCCTTTATATCCCCACTTTGATCCGGCGTTGCGTATATTCGTATAGTTTAGAAGAAAATTCCTTATTACGTTTTATCGACCATACTAAGTGAACGTCTCGTGATTTCGTGATACGAAAAAGTCATCTAATTTTGGAACACAGGCTTAGCACGTGGTAACGCTCTCGTTGATCCCCTCAAGAACAGTAAAATCCCATTCAAGCGAGGTAACGTCATTTTACGACCGGCACGAATGATTCACGAGGATTTTGGCAAAATTTCATCCCGATCGTTACACTGACTCGATTGTTCATGAGGAATCGATGTTTTTAGGGCTTTTACTTGTCTCTTTGTTAAGAAACGCGATCCACGAAAGATGCTTCGTTTGTTCGTCAGGACAACGAGCCCGTGGCATAGTCTGGTCATCAGAAAATATCGGTTCTCTGCAGGCGCGTATAGAACACGTTACAATGACCATTTTCTATTTCATCGTTGTTTCGCTTTCGAAAGCACAGGGATCGACGTTGCACCGTGATTTATTCACCAGAAGAAATCGACCTTACCGTAAATTGCATCGCTTCGTTTCAATTAAGCAGGATCGATCGACAAACGGTCCTCGTATCTGCGTGTATCCTAAGAAAAAGCGTATCTCGTGTTGCCCCGAAACCAGGCTCGGATTATGATTTCTTGTGGCCCAGAGCTATCAGATTTTCGGGGGCCCCCTCAGTTGGAAAGCAGTGGAGGGGGATTTTTTTGTAATACAGCACAAAAAAATATATAAATCTTAAAAAATTGAGATTTATTCTAAATAAAATTAACATTTAATCAATAACGAAATGGAAGGTTCAGAACGGGGCCCCTCTGAAATGTGGGGCCCGGGGCTACTCGATTTCGCTATGAAAGAACAGTAAGAAGAACTTAACGGACGAAAATCGAAACGACGAATGATCGTTTCGCGCGGACGACACGTGCGAGTTTACGTGACGAAAGGACGCCCACGTTAGGTGGTGTTAACACATGGTGGTGGTGCACGGTTTGCGTCACATCCTCCTACGTCATTAATGACACGGGAACATCGAGAATGTTTCGTATAGCACGAGTATCATAGAACGGTCGTGCGGTTCGTCTACAATAAATCGCGACCTCTGTATTAACGAAACAAGATCGGCGGATGACGGTTTATAGGTACACCCACGAGCAAATTCGGTTTCTACTAGGGGAAAAAGTGACGTAAGAGAAAGACCTCCTACTACTTGGTAAATTTATTTCAAGTACTGAAATAAATGTGAAATCAAATGTTAATTTGGCATAAATTTAAATAATTCCCGATACTAAATTTTAGCAGGCCCTTCTCAAACACCACTTTTTGCCCTAGCGGAAGCAGAGTTTGTTCGTGAGAGTACATACACACGCGAATCAGTCTCTCAGACGGGAGCCTTGGCCCCGTACAGCCGAGGCTCGCGTCTATTTCGTTAATAAAATGGTTAATTAACAGTCACGTGAATGGAGAAGCATCGAGAGGATCTTGATGTATGGCATCAGGGGCTTAGGAGTACGTTCGACCAAGGTTGACGTACCGCCTGGCCGGTTGACGGCACACGTTAATCGCGGTGATAATAAACCGGTCGAGAAGACGATATTTCGCGTTGAGGTATGCTTGGTTTTGCTTCCAGAATGCTACCCCCTGACCGTGAAGACCCATGGAACGTAATTCCGTGGGGGAACAATACAAATGGAACTTTCTTGATTCGGTAGAAAGCGGGAATCGACCTTCGACGGTCACGAGGGGAAGAACTCGAGCCTGAACGAGAGAGAGACACGAGTGGCTTGCGACCTCAGACAATGAGAGGCAGCACATACACACACACAAGGGAGATATTCACGAGCCCGTGACCACCTTTACGGGACTAGCCAACAAGATAAACAAAGACGGCAAGAAAGTCGTGACAGAGAGAAAAGTGTCCGTCCTCTCTGGGTATTGTTACACCGGATAAACGTCAGACCCGTTTAGAAGCAATTGTAACGTTTCTGGCTCGAGAAACGCCTCTGTGTACCGATTTCAAACTGGACGTTATTTCCCGTAACGGTTTTTGCCGAGTGTTCTTCGCTCTAGTTGCATAGCCGAATAGGTCTTCATTTCGAGTACCACACGCGGGACAATGTCGGTGGAGTTGGAAGCGTGACCGGCTGTGCCAAACTGCGAACAATAGCTTCCCTTCGAACTTCCTACTGGGATACGAGAATTAATTTTGTTAGGCACGATTTACGGGGGCAACGACAGACAATCGCAAGGAGTCGAGAGTGCAGAGCCAGAAAAATAAAGATGATCGAAACGATGATATCAACTCACGCACCGTCACAGTTGAAAACGTTCCTTTTCTTTCTGCCACCGGTGGCGGGAAATTTCAAGCGAGAAAAACGCAGAATAACGCGTGTTTCGTACCCACCTTCGACTGTAGTGTGCGTACAACAGTTCCCGCTGTGTATCAGCGCGTCCTCTGTAACTTGACTCTCGTTGCTTGCACCAAAGTCAAAGCTCAAGCTACGATGCGACAACGAAGGTGAAGTCCTAATTGTATATCGCGAGAGAAAACGGTTGCGTTCGAGTCGTAGGATCGCCGTGAGAACGTACACCCAAAAGGGGAACCGAAGGGAACGACGTTCACCGCTCGAAAGACTCGCGCAGACTGATCAGCTCGGTCCCTCTATTGCCGCGCGCTGCAACCTCGACCACAGGTTACCGCTCCACCGGAGAAGGGGGATGCAACCGACAAACTTTTATTTCGTATCAATCCACTCCTCCTCCTCCACGCCGCCCTCGCGGTTCGTTCGTTCGTCACCGTTCCCGCTGTTTTCCTGCACTCTCAGAACTAAACTTCGCATCGATCTCCAACAAACAAAGAAGCTCCTGTTATCGATCGACGTTGTCCTTTGTGGAATTTCATTCGTATCCGTTACGTCTGTTTGTGTCCCGCTAGCGCGTCGTCTCAGTGTTCTCATTAAGGTGGCTTCCGCAAGTATTTAATAATCGTATGTTTAGTTGAAAATTAATAGAATATTTTTCGAAGCTTTCGATTGCTACCAAAAAATCGCGAGGAAGATACCTTAAACCGACCACTTTTTTGACAGGCGAGTGATCTTCGTTGTCGCAACGATCCCATAGATTCGGTCGTTTTCTCGATGGAACAATCAACGACAGTAATTTCGTTTTTTTTTCTGTAATTCGAACGAGCAAGTAACGTCGCGAAATCCAACCAAAACCGAAAAGTAATTCACGACAGAAAGTTTAATTGCACTCCAGGGAATCGCTTGGTTGGGAAAAACCTTTTCGAGGTTAGAAACTTTTCGAATGAGAGATGACGGGGATACGGTTCCGAATCGATTCTTCCCAGAACCGGATACCGGTAGCTTATTCAACCGACGGATGAATCATTCCCAATGACGTCCGTGCATCTTTCTGAATTTCAATACAAACGGGATACGCGTAATAAAGGTGAATATATTCCGGAACACGTGGAATACACGGAAAGATAATATGCATCGAGGGACAAATACACGAAGGTCATGAAAAATAATAATGTATAGGTATCTGTTGTGTATGAATTTTTCTCCCAACGGAATCTTTAGCGATCACGTGCGTGGGTGGTGGCAACAGGCAAATGGGTACTCCAAAAATTTCGATCGGTAGCATGTGTCTGTTTTCAGGGTCGTCGCGAAACACTAATCTAGCGCAGGCGAAAACCATACAACTCTTCAGAGAATCCGGTGGTAAATTATTTCGGTTGGACGCTAATTTTGTCGCGGTATGCTATGCTACGCACAGAGAAAGAGAGGGGGGGGGGTTAACCAATATACCTATACCGCATGTAACGAAGCATCCTCGGACCGTTCTCTTCCTCGCTTATCCTCAACGTTCATTCCTTTCTTTTTTCTCCCAGCCTCCTTTTCTACCTCTTTGTCCCGGCTCTTTCGCGGGCATTTGCTCGTCGATTGGCTCCCTATTTTCGCTCGTTAAAGCCAATGTTCAATGTACACACATATACACTGACTGGAAGCCGCCGTCGGGGTCAACATCTCGCTCGAAAGCTGAGAAAAGCTTGCGCCGGTGTCAACGAGCCGTAAACAACCCTGAAACGAGACTGAGGGATTTTCATGAGAAGTGACAGTTCGGGAGCACACGGCCGTTAATTCGTTTGCGTTCGTATGATACACTCTCTCGTTTCCCGATATCTCTTTATTTCTCGCACGAAACACGAGAAAATACATTTGCTTTACGATCGTATCGATTTTATCGACAGTCGAAGTCGAAGTTCCTATACAGGATTTATCGAATCGTTATTGGGTCATTCCATGCGAAATAGTACACTTTTTGGATTTTGTTCAAATAAATGCCCTGTTTTTATACCGGGGAACTATTTAAAAATTTAAAAAGAAATTAGGATATAGCTCTATTTGCTCTCTTTATGGACGTATGTTCAAAAATATGGACACTTTAAAATTGGCCGTACGAAAATTAATTGAAGTGAACGCTGCGTCAGAAAGCATATTCTTAATCGATGTTCACAATCGATATTCGCTCGAGCTATTCGTTCGAAAGTGTGCATTCACATTGATGTCTCGCGAAAGATATCTAGAACGACACACGCGTCGGGAAAGAATTGAACAACTTAGAAACTACGCGTTGCTCGATAAAAGGATTAATTTGCGCGACGCGGTGGAAAATACATAGCGATCGTTATCTGAATGTGATCTTGAGGTGTTAGAGGACGAGATGTGCGTCAACGATACTAATCCTCAGGAATATCGAAGTGTCCAATCGAAGATGAACCGAGTAGGAGAAGTCACGAGTCGGGCCAAGATGAAAACTCTCACCGTGATAAATGTATGTATGTGCGTCAATGCTGATACTGTATCTTATCTGTGTTTTACCGTTCCTGCATGTAGATCGTAATCGACCATCGCGAAAAGGTCCGTCTTCGCGAAATGAAATCATTCACCAATCATTGACCATTGACGTTCGTCACCTATACGGTAGCAGTTTAACCTATGTGCTTTTTCTTTTATTGGAAGTAGCTTAAATTTCTTCAGAAACTTGCTTTGCTATTATTGCTAGGGGGCATCGCGATCTTTGACGCGTTGAGGTGGGGCATGATCCAAAAAAGGTTAGGAACACTGTCCTACCCGGATGGAAACTGTGATTCGCCACGGTTCATCCCGTTCTAACATGCTTTCCCCATGCACACGTTCTCGTGCTACGAATAGTTCGTGCCGTGATCGTTGAAGATACGATGCCTTAAAATACGAGACCAGCGACCGAATACATACGTACATGTATACCTACCCAGCGTCCCGTGCGTCTGCTTTCAAACACGTCAAAGGCATTCCTCGTCAAGGCCATTTCGTTCATAAGGCTGGTACTTTTCCGGATCATTAGACGGACGAACGAGATCGTTTCTGTACAAGTGCACCTTGACAATGCCCGTTATACGCAGCGTTCTACGGAAATAATTAGTCGTCCGCGATTTATGGACAGTTATCAAGGATGCGTCGAAAATATCCTGGGTATTCGAACGGATACATTTCAATCGTTTCGGGCTGTTTTGATCGAACGCAAAAGGGACCACCGGGACCTTGGATTCGGTGCCTGACTCAACGCATCAGACGTACATCCGATATTGAGGTTAACACGTTCTTCTCGCGCCGAAGAAAAGGGAGAAAAAAAACGAACAGAGTTTGTTTCTCTTAGGAAAAATCGCGAGGGCGTCGAGAGATTCCGGACATATCGTGATAACCAAGTTCATAAATCCGTATTTCTTCTCGGCCCATCCTCGTCGAATCTAATCAATCCAAGTTATAACCCCCCCGCCCCTCCGTTCCGAATCGAAAACTTCTTCTGGCAGCTGTTCACTCGTATTATCTCTTCAGTTCCATTAATCGTGTTTCGAGAGGAAAAGCTTCAAGGTTCGTTTCCTTGCTTAACACAATTTTTGTAAAAAGGCGATCTTTCCCGAAAATTTCTCGTGTCGTCGAGCGTTTGTTGGTCGAGTTATCGAATTAAACGCATAACAGTCTGCAGTCACGTGCAGCCTAACCTAAAAGTGACAGTATTTACAATACATAAGAGGTGACAGTAATAGCTTTCGAGATATATTTTTTGAAACTAATGAATTTATAAACAAAAGTAAACGTTCAGAAAGTTACAACAAATTATTCCTTCAATTAAACATATTATATAATAATAAATACAAATAAAAACTTATGTTCTCAGTCAGTTAATACAAAAATTATGCAATAATGTCAAGTGTTATTTCTTAAAGTGTCAGTAATTGGGTCTTTTACTCTGGTGTTCCTCGACGGAAATAACGGAGGAATACGGTTTTCCAGCATGTCGGAACATCCGGTTGTGTCTTGCTTCGCGACGAACGGCTGAAACTCTATAAACCGCGAAAGAGTATTTTTGTCCGTGGATATTATCGATTGCATATTCCACTGGATTAGTTCTTCTCTCTCTTCGGCTGAACAGCTCGTTCGGTATGCAAAACCGGTAGACGATCGGGAGGGATGTAAGTATACGACGTCTCGTTTTGCGTTTACAAATACACAACCGGGTCCGCATAAATCTGTGGTCCATACAGCCACAAGAAATATCTGTACCAACTTGGCCAACTGACACGATCTACGGAAATTCCGTCCATTTTTAGTAACCCAACTGGCGCGTGGTAAGCTTCCGATGCATCGCTGCGTTTCGTATATTTCCATGCGGAAGAGGAATCGAAGTTTCGAGCGCGGTTTTATCCGCGAAAATTCAAACGGTCTCTAGTGACCGATCGAACTATTTCAAGGAACGGTTTTTAATTTAATTTAATTTAATTTATTGCCATTAACCCATTTTATATTGGACCGTTTATTTTGAAAGTGGTGCAAGTCCATTTTCCATTTCATTTTATTTTAGTTTACACTAAATTAAGCATAAATTACGTCATATCTCATTTTTTTTTAAAAAAGGACTTACACCACATTCAAAATAAACGGTCCAATGACGTAATTTATGCTTAATTTAATGTAAACTAAAATAAAATGAAATGGAATTGGAAAATGGACTTGCACCACTTTCAAAATAAACGGTCCATTATAAAAGTTTAACAAAGTCGTTGAATGACACTACTTATAGTAGTTTTAAGTATTCATGTTATTTTCGCAGTATCCGTTAGATGGAAGTTTTGATCTTATCAATTGATTCTGAGAAAAAATTTAGTTTTAAAATTTCTTGGCTACATTGCATATCCTGGCTACTGTATCGGTTTAATCGTTGCGCAAGTGATCGATCCTGCGCGTCAGTGATCATCGTTCGGGGAGCTCAAGGTCTCGAAGGATCACGATTCCGTCGTGATTCGAGCGATATTGCGACTCAGACGAGTTCATGATGTTCGACGGTGAGTGACGTGTCTCAATTCTGATTCACTGCAATGCGTCACGGTGAATAGAGAATCTTATTCTTGGCCCATCGTGGCTCATTGTTCGTAGTCACCTACTTTCATTTGCCCAATTGTATCGTTCGCTTCGCGCGTCACTCTACGACCGATTATATGCAATGCCGCTCGAATTACATACGAAAGTTCAAGCTAATACGACGGACCAGTTTGGGACATATTTCGCGATCTCTTCGATCCTCTGT